TTAACAATGAGTTCCTAAATAGTAAGACCATGTGTTTTCATCTACATCCTAGAATTTGGTATGGTGCTTGGCATTATCAAGGGCCCATGAAAGAAGGTAAAATTGTAGTATTCTCAACTATTTCCCCTCATGATTATAGGAAGGAAAAGGGACAAAGAATAACCACACTCTACCCAGGCTGCCAACCTATCAGAAAATATATATCTTAATCTATAAATTGATGAATCATATTGCTAAAGGCAGCCTGGAGCAACAATAAAGCAACTCCAAAGTGACTTCAGAGAACAAGAGTCAAATACACAGGAAAGCCTGTATAGTTTAAAAATACTTTAGGTGATTGTGATACACTCCCTCTTCCCTACTAACTGGCAATCATTCTGATAAAATTTGGGAAATCTAATGTTATTGCTTTTACCATCTCAATATATAAACCAGAAAGTAAATTTTGGTGACTTTGAAGAGATAACTATAATAATCCCAAGGATTAGACAGTGAAGTTTTCTGGGCAAAGTATTATCTTAATGTTGAGAAGAAAAATTATAACCACAGAGGGTGGATAGAATGAGCTTGGAATCAGCTCAAGGGTATAACTGGATAGCAAGTAATATCAAGCAGTGATACCAAGTTATGCTGGTCAGACTCTGTAATATCACCATGGGGAAAGACAAGACACTCTGACCCTCTTGTCAGGGTAGCCCTTCTCCTAGACTTTGCTGGAGAATTCTGACTCTCTTCTCACACAAATCTTTCCTTTTCTACTAAATTTTTTCCTTCTTACACTGACCACTGACCATTTTCTTTCCATTAAAACTTGGATTTTTTTTAGATATGTCAACACCATTAGTTAGGGTACAATCATGTCTGCTTTGAAGAAAGTATTCTGGGGCGCCTTGGTGGCTCAGTTGGTTAAGCATCTGCCTTCAGCTCAGGTCATGATCCCGGGGTCATGGGATGGAGCCCCTCATCAGGCTCCCTGCTCAGCAGGGAGTCTGCTTCTCCCTCTCCCTCTGCAGCTCCCCCTGCTTGTGCTCTCTCACGCTCGCTCTCTCTGTCAAATAAATTAATTAAATCTTTAAAAAAAAGGAAGTATTCTGTCTCTAAAGAGCCTTCTCCATATATTTACCTCATCCTTTACATGGTTGGTACTCTTATAATTTAACTTCATACTTCTAAGGGTACTTTGCTATCTACTATAAGGATCATTTGTAAAAATACAACTTGATTTATAAGGTATTACTCACAGAAATTCTCTGGGCCTGTTTCTTCATCTGGAGATAGTTGTACAGTATTTTCCAGTAAACTACTGACAAGGGTACTTTCAAAGACTAATGAGGTGAAAATCTTGTTGAGAATGCCAGATAGCATATATAAAAATATCAAGGTACCTACTGGGTAGTTTGCCTCAGTAGTCTTCTAGATGTTTCCCTTTTCCCCCCAGTGAAGGAAATTTTTTAAAAGAAGGGACACTGAGGGGTGCCTGGGTGGCTCAGTCCTGGGATTGAGCCCTACATGGGGCTCCCTGCTCAATGGGGAGCCTGCTTCTCCCTCTGTGCCCCCCTACTCCGCTGGTGCTCTCACTCTGCTCTCTCTCTCTCAAATAAATAAATAAATAAATCTTAAAAAAAAAAAAAAGACTGAAAATGGGGATTAAAAATTAGCATTCGAGATAAAATTAGCTACAAAAACAACTCAGAAATTAATGACAGAAGGAAAGTTAAATCACATACCCATAAAATTATCTGAAGCTTCCTGCCATGCTTGCCCATTAATGCTGACATTCTCTTGCACAGCTGATTCAAAAGTCTGAAATAAATTCACAATACTCAAGTCACTAAAAATAACTTAAATATTGAACTAAAACATTTTGGCAAAATAAGAATTTCAGATTTGTAATACAGAATATCAAGAAAAATAGACTAGCTTATTAGTATATTCTTTTCAATGAAGATTCCATTTCAATCATTGATTCTACCTACATTTTAGCTCTGATAATAACCATTACACTACATCTGAGAAAATTTGATGCAAAAATTTATATACTCCTTAAATGAAGAAAAAATACAAGCTAACAAAGTTGAGCTCAGCTGAGTCTCAAGGGTACAAGTACTACATATGCTGCTGAACAAGCATCAGTGTTAACAAGGAAAAAATGCTTAAAACAAAGTAAAATTAATTTCTACTTCATAAAGGACTATTTTTTTTAGAGATGTACACTGAAGTACACAGAAATCAAATGACATGAGCTCTGAAGTTTGCTTTAAAATAGGAAGTGTAGGGGCACCTGGGTGGCTCAGTCGGTTAAGCGACTGCCTTCAGCTCAGGTCATGATCCCAGGGTCCTGGGATCGAGCCCCGCATAGGGCTCCCTGCTCGGCGGGAAGCCTGCTTCTCCCTCTGCCCCTCACCCTGCTTGTGTTCCCTCTCTCGCTGTGTCTGTCAAATAAATAAATAAAATCTTAAAAAAAAAAAAAATTTTGGTGATGGATATACAGGTGTCCACTGTACTAGTCTGTTTTTTGTAAGGTTAAAAATGTTTATACTACATTAAAAAATAAGGGACTAAAGGAATTTGATAGTGCCATTAAAATTTTAAATGCACATTCCCTATTACCTAACAATTTCACTTCTAGCAATGTATCCTAAAAAACTGTTCTCATAAAAACATAAAAAGGATGTACTAGTAATGTTTGTTAAAACACTATTTGAAATTATAAAATACTGAGGGGAAAATAAAATCTAAATTCAAATTCGGAACATGGTTAAATATACTATATCCATATCATGCAATACTAAAAAAGAATAAAGTATATCTCTACCTAACATTGACAAATAATAGTCGAAGACAGATTTGGTAGAGAAAAAAAAAAGCTAAATTGCTAAATACATCATCCTAACACTATTAATGTAAAAAACAAACAAAAATCTAAAACAGCAGAGAGATGTAAAGCCATTAAAAAATGTATAGGATTACACCCTCCATGGGCCCTCCAAAATAGTAAGTTATTTCCAGGAAGGAAGAGGGATGGGGGAGAGGAATTCAGACTTTTGTTTTATGCTGTTTTTTACAATGAGAATGTATTTTACACACTTTGTAGAAGTAAAAATAAGCATAAATCAAATGACTGATAATTATGAGTTAACGTACACACTCTACATTTTAAAGATTTTATAAAATAAAATCCTTACTTTATATATGGGCATTCAAGGATTATCTCAGAATACAAACTGTAATATTCATTGCACAATCATATCAATGGGATTTTTTTTAGAATACCCATTACAATATTACATGGTTTTAGATAAAGAGATATGTCAACATAATTAAAGCCTCTGCCTTTTATCTGCTTTTAATATAAAACACAAGTGAATTCCTTGGTAGTTTAAGTCTTCAAACTTTTATCTTCTAATTCACTTTATCATCCATTAAATAAGGTTTAATAGGTTAAGCCAAGCTCCTCTTTTTCTGTAAAGTAAATGTTCTAAATATGTTAGCACTTCTTAGAAAGGGGCAAATTCTAAAATCATTATGCAACAAAACAGTCTTCTCCCAAAAACTACTAAAAATGTCCTGAGGTATGTCTCTATTCTTCCCTTCCTTGCAAGAAGGTAGTAACAGCGTTACTGTATACAAAACTGGAACACAGACTCGCTACCCAGGTGCTGTTTCTTTATTCTTCCATTTGACGTTTATTTTTATTGTTTGCACTGTGGTCATTCGAACTCACAAGTGTGCTGCATTATGAACTTTTAAACTTATTTTCTAGAGATAGATTGTATGCTTCCTTAAGGCAGGTACCAATCCCTCAATGCTGTGTCTTTCCTCAAAAAACTAGCTTCTTCAGGGCTTTGCAAAATATGTGAGAAAGGAAGGGGAAATGTTATGAGGGCCAGCGAAGTTATTAATCAAGACAGCTTCCTTATCTACTTTAGAGTTGGAGGGAAAATGTTTTCACGACTTTACATGAAGTTCTAAACAGGTAAAAGGAAAAGACCAAAGGCCAGTGCGGTGACTGGCTGACTTCCAGGATTACCCCTTCCTAGAGAATTCCTCCTAGAGTCAGTCTGCACTGTCCAATAGGGGAGCCACTGGCTACTCTGTGGTTACTGAGGCCTTAAAATGTGGCTATAGCCCTAAAGGAGATGAGCTCTAAATTTACGCCACCAGATTTGAAAAGCTTAGTAGGAACAAAAGAATAGAAAAGATCTTGTTCGTTTCCTTTTTACTATTATAAGTTAAAACGGGGGGCGCCTGGGTGGCTCAGTTGGTTAAGCGACTGCCTTCAGCTCAGGTCATGATCCTGGAGTCCCTGGATCGAGTCCCGCATCGGGCTCCCTGCTCGGCAGGGAGTCTGCTTCTCCCTCTGACCTTCCTCCTTCTCATGCTCTCTCTCATTCTCTCTCTCAAATAAATAAATAAAATCTTAAAAAAAAAAAAATAAGTTAAAACGGTATCGTGGATAGAGCGGGCTAAATAAAACATAACATTAAAATTAATTTCACCTATTTTTTTCTTCCTTTAATTTCAAGTTACATACATAGCTCGCCTTGTATTTTTCTACTGGAAGGCGCTGGTCTAAGCGATTAATACCCAGCTGACACTAGCATCTATTTCGACCCCTCGCGTTTCTCGGGCTTCTTCTACCGGAGCGGGCAGCACCGTTAACTTTGCGAAGCCTGTCGTAGGCTCTTTCTGAGCCTTGAGAGGGGTACAGGGTAAGGGGGTGATAAGAGATAGCTACCGGGCCCGTACCCACTGCACATCCCGCAGCGCAGGCTCCCGAATCTCCTCTGGCAGCGCGTCCCCGAGCTTTTCCACAAAGCGGCCGCACAGTTCTAGCATTTCCGTCACGGCCCGCTTCGAGGTGCAGCGCACCCGGAAGTCCTCTCGGGAGGTGCCGGCGACCGAGGCCCCGTCGTCCGCGCCGGCCACTCTCTCCACGTCCCGCGGAGGGGAAGGGACCACCAACACAGGAGCCGCTGCCATTTTTCCAGTTTGAACTGCGGGCGGGAACGCTGGGAGCGGAAGGGCGGGCTCCCACTGGGGGAAGAGGCCCGCGTCCGGCCGGAAACTGAACCGGTGCAGCGGCAGCGTTCCGCCTGAGGCTCGGCGGGAGAGTGGAGGGCGGCGGCGGCTGTGGCGATGGGGGCGGTGGGCCTAGGGTTGGTGGACTGTCACTGCCACCTCTCGGCCCCGGACTTTGACAGCGTACGTATGGGCGAGGCCCGGCCCTGGGAGCGGGGAGGCCCTCCCGTCCTTTCCCTTCAGGTTATTTTTGCTCTCCTCCCTTAGGACCAAGCCTCAGATCCTCCCAGGCTCCTGTTCGTGGCCCTGAGTGACTTGCCCCTGGCTCTCTATTTAACTTCAGTCATTCTGATTTTTCTTTCTGACCCTGAATAGCGTTAAGCTCTCTATTCCTGCGTGGCTTTTATTTGCCCTTCCCGCTTACGAGAGGGCTTCTGCCCTACCTTCCCTTGGCCCGGCTGTTTACCCCACCGGCCTCGGCCTCGCAGCTCCTGGCCTGGCCGAGCATCCACTTTGCCCAGGAGAAGTGTGCTCTCGGTACTTACCGGCGCGCCGTGTGCTCCTGTTCTAATGGGGGAGAGAAGCAAACAGAAAGAACAGAACACACACAAAATCCGAGTTACCAAGTGTTTTACCAGCTACATTGGAAACCAGAAGCTGATAAATGAGAAGGAAGAGCAGAGTCTCTTAAGGGGGAAAACCTCTCAAGAGGTGACACTTCGTTTGGAACTGGAAAGGCAAAGAGCCAGCCGAGCAAGGAGGTGGGTGTACGCGGTGTAGAAAGCAAGCAGATCGCAGGCTCCAGACAGGATAGAATTTGACGCATTCAAGCTACAAAAAGGCTAGGTGGAGGGTGATGAGCTAGAGAGAGCCCCTGGAATAAGACTAGAGGGTTGCAGGGGATAGGTGACGTAGGTCAGTAAGGACAAGGTAGATCCAGTAAAGGTGTTTGGGTTTTTTGTTTTTTAAGGGAGAGTGACAAGATCTGATTTCCATTTTAAAAACCATTTTGCTGATGGAGAACAAGTGTGGAAGTTAGAAAACCAGTTTGAAGGCTTTTGCTGTATGTAGACAGCAGATGATGATGATTGCAGGGGAGTTTGAGAAAAGTAGGTGGATTCAGTGTGTGTTTTAGAGCCAGAATCTATGGTACATGCTGAGGAATTGGATGTGGAGAGGGAGAGAAAGAGAGGACATGAGGATGCTGTAGGGAGGATGGTGGTGCTGTTTACTGAGAGGAGGGAAGACGGAGGTTGGGGAGGGCAGATAGAAGGAATAGGTTTGTAGAGGAGAGCCATGTTTGGCACATGTTGAAGCCTAATATCCATCCAAGTGGAAATGTCATATAGTCGATTTTAAATGTCAGTCTTGGGCTCAGGAGAGAATTCTAGGCTGGAGCTCAAAACTGGGGACTCGTTAGCATAATGATGATATCAAAACCTATGGATGCCATCACCTGAGGTGTGTACAGAGAGAGGAGCATAGGGTCCTGAAATCCAATAGAGAGAGCCAGCTAAGGAGACTGAAAGTAGCAGCTAGTGGAGGGTGGTGTTTGCAGGAGAGCGGTATTGCAGAAGCCAAGAGTGGGAAATATTTCAGGAAGGAAGAAATGGACAAGTGAGGAGTTCTTAATGCTGCTGAGGGGTAGAGTAAGGGGAGGACAGAGAAGTGTCCATTATATTTGACAATAACAGTTTCTGTTTTAGTGGAGTAGGAACAGAAGCCAGATTTTACTGAGAGAAAGGAAGAGTAAACAGAAGGTGGGGGAGTGTAGCTCTTCACATTCTATCACACTGTTCCTTGCCATTGTTGTCTCAACTACACTGATATACACAGCCAAAGAGCAGTTAGTTATTCATCTAAAATAATTGTGATGACTTATGCTTATTTTAGGATCTGGATGATGTGTTGGAGAAAGCCAAGAAGGTAAGTCAATATCTATAATTGCCCTTTGTTTTCCTATTAATTTCAATCTAGAACAGCTTGAAATTTAGATTTACTATGCCTATGTTGCTTTGTTAATAAGTAGCATTAATTTACTGTTTACTATATGCCAGGCACGGAGCTTAGTCCTTTCTGTACATATCTCATTTAATGTTTCACAACATCCTTATGAAGAAGCTGCTATTTTAGAGCCAAACATTACCCATTTGATAGAGGAGGAAACTCAGACCTACAGATTAATTTATCCAAAGATACACTGCTAGTAAAGTGATACAGACAAGATAGTCTGAATCCAAAACATGTTCCCACAGCTACCATGCTTACCAGTTATATGGAACAGATCGGTCTGTCTCCCAGTTCTAAAATTAACATTATTCCAGAGATCTTGAAGAAATTATAAAAGTTTTCTGAGACATTTTGATTTGTTTCAGGAAAAAAAATACTAATTTTTGGAAGTTTGTATGAAATTCATTGTAACTACCTCTTTGTAACTTTCCCTTAAAGTGATAGTCAGAAACGGTTGCCAATACATTTTTACATACACAGCTATCATTCAATATGGCAGGTTAATAAGGAGCATGGGCTCTGGAGTTACACAGGCATAATGATCTTGAGCAAGTTATTTGACTCCATCCAGAACTGCTGATCAATATGATGGATTACAGCAATGCCTACCTCATAGGGCTGTGTAGATTAAATGAGGTAATATTTATATTCACTGAACATAGTGCCTGAAACATAGTAAGTACTCAGTGATTGCCATCATGATTATATTGATGGAGTATGAGTGAGCAAGAATAACTGAAAGTACAGAAGATTATAAATTTCTCTTCAGTTATGTTAGATGTGTATTGTTTGAGATTCTAACTATTCTATTCATTTTTGTTTCAGGCCAATGTTATGGCTCTTGTGGTGGTTGCTGAACATTCAGGAGAATTTGAAAAGATAATGCAGCTTTCAGAAAGGTGCTACTTTTCATTAAGAATTTAAAGAGTTGCTGGACGCTTGGGTGGCTCAGTCGTTAAGCGTCTGCCTTCAGCTCAGGTCATGATCCCAGGGTCCTGGGATCGAGTCCCACATCGGGCTCCCTGCTCCGCGGGAGGCCTGCTCCTCCCTCTCCCACTCCCCCTGCTTGTGTTCCTGCTCTCACTATGTCTCTCTCTGTCAAATAAATAAATAAAAATCTTCAAAAAAAAAAAAAGAATTTAAAGAGTTGCTGGGGCGCTTGGGTGGCTCAGTGGGTTGAGCGTCTGCCTTCGGCTCAGGTCATGATTTCAGGGTCCTGGAATCGAGCCCTGTGTTGGGCTCCCTGCTAGATGGAGAGTCTACTTCTCCCTCTCTCCCTCTGCCCCTCCCCCCTGCTTGTGCTCTCTCCCTCAAACAAATAAAATCTTAAAAAAAAAATAAGAATTTAAAGAGTTGCTAATAAGGATGCAGTTATGTCATATTTGTACTATCAAAGGTCATCCAATTTTAAAGAGAATGAGAAGAAGAAAATCCATCAACATAGCCCTAAAAAATTCTTTCATACTTGTTCTTTAGCGTAACATTGTCTACTAGTTTAATATTCCTGCTTTCTTAATTTGTTCTACATTTTTAGGTATAAGGGGTTTGTCCTGCCGTGCTTGGGTGTTCACCCTGTTCAAGGAGTTTCACCAGGAGATCAAAGAAGTGTCACATTAAAGGTAAAAGTCATATAAAACAAGAACCATAAAAAATGATACCTTTGTTTCAGTAATGCTCCTCTTTCTGATTTATATTCTAAGGCAATAATCCAGAAGAAGGAAATGCTACCTTTCACAAAGGTGTTTGTTGCAGCATTATTTGTAGTAGAGAAAAAAAACAGAAACAACCTAGAGGCTCAGAAATTAAGGAAAAATTAACTTGTAGAGTGTTAAATATACGTATGTATGTATGGAATGCATACATGGAAGCTGAGAACGATAAGGTTTATTTTATGTAGCAATGAGGAAAAATGTTTACAATATAATATAGGGAGAAAAGCAGGATGCCAAATGGCTTATTCCCTAGTTGTGACATTCATGTGAAAATATATTCTGTAAGGAAAAGACTAGAGGGAAAAACACAGAAATGACATTAGCTGTGATGATCGGGTAGTTTTCACATTTTTTACCATGTTGTCATATTGTTTGGCCAAAAAGTGATAAAATATCCAGAAAAAGAAAGATACAAATTCATAGATATAGTACCGTAAGGGAACACAGTATCATCTTGAACGTTAAACTGTCTCTAATGGAATGCTCTTGACTTATGAAACTGTAGTGCTTTTATACCGACCGGCTCTAAAACAAATCCTACCCACAAGATCTCATTGACTGACAATAGCCAATATGTCTCATATTTCAGACTCATCTCCTGACTTGTCATCGGGAGGTCCAGTTTCTTAAGTGCTTTATTACATAAATGTGAGTGATAGCACCCCCCATTTTTAAGAAGGAAAGACTTTCTGTTACCTATGAATAAATTAAGATACAAGGTCTTTCATTTTTTATAGTAATGAATATGTATTCCTACATTAGGATACCCCAGATAGTTCTGTTTATTTTGAAACAAAATTGTTTTTAATTCACTTCAAGTAAAAATAAATACTTGTCCTGTAGTTCTCCTGAGTTGTTCTCCTGGGATGATAAAATTAGTTAAATTGCCAGAGAGATACAGTTCCCAAAATGTTGGGGATCATAGCAGGACAGCATTTATTTCATTTATATAGAGATTTATATGACTAGGCATTCATTTAGTTAGTCAGTCAGCAAGTGTTTACTGAGCACCTACTGCATTCCAAGCACTGCTGTAAGCACTGTAGAGTGAAATCCCTCTCATGGAAGCTAGATTCTAGTCGGGGGCAGACAGACAATCAACAATTAGATACATGGACAGGAAAACTGTAGATAGCACTCAGTGCTTTAAGACAATCAAACAAGATTATGTGATAGGGATTGTGGATGCTGATTTTTGGATTGTAGTCAAGGAAGGCCTCTCTGAGATGGTGATATGAGAACTGCAGCCTGAATGCTGCCAAGGAGTTGGCCCTGCAGAGAGAGGGCTCAGAGTGTTGTAGGCAAACGAAACAACCCAGCACAAAGGTCCTAAGGTAGGAATGAGCTTGACGTGGTCAAGAAACAGAAAGAGAGCTGCTGTGGCCGAGGGAAGGGGAAGTAACGGTGGCGGGGTCAGAGGGACTGGGCAGGGAGCACCGCGTCCAGGGCCTTGCTGGAGTTCAGTTTGCATCAGTGGGGGGATTCGAAGTGAGGAGGGACAAGATGGGATTTATGTTTTGAAGAGATCCCCTTGGGTATGGTGTGAAGAACAAATTTTGAAGAGTGCAAAAAAACAAGACAGGAAGAGTGAGAAGACCACTGCAGTAGTCCCTGGGAGAGAGGATGGCAGACTGGACCAGAGTGCCAGCAGCAGAGGCGAGAGGGAAGTGGCTGGATTTGACGTATTTTGGCATAAATGTAGAACTGATAGAACTGTTTAACTTACAAAACTAATGAGAATAGCAACATTAGATAGGTAATTCCAGATTCTCAAAGCAGATATGAACTCATAAAATCTCAGGATAGCCCTCTGGAAAACACCAGAGATAAGCAATTATTCCTCTTTTATTCTTAGTGTGCTTATAGTCCATAGCCTAGTTTAGTTTTCTCATAACGATTAGATTATAAACCCCTAATATAAACCCCTGATACTTGGTATGTAGTAAGTGTTTAGTAAATTCACTTGGTTCATAAAATTAAAGTTCCTGGGGCGCCTCGGGGCTCAGTCAGTTGAACACTGGGACTCTTGATTTCACTTCAGGTTTCTATCCCAGGATCATGAGATCAAACCCCACGTTGGGCTCCACCCTGGGTGTGGTGCCTGCTTGGGATTCTGTCTCTCCCTTTGCCCTTCCTCGCTCTAATAAATAAAATTAAAATTGCCTAGCTCACACAAATCTTTCAGCATATTCCTGAACTTATCCATTCAATAAATATTACTACCAGGCAGGGCTTGGGACCCAGAGATATTTCAGGGAACCACAATTCACTGTGTGTGATCTACTGCCCCCTGCAGGCAGGGCATGTGCTCTGCAGTTGGCTCCCCTCCCTGCTTGGCCTGCTTCACATATTTGTGTTACACACCTGACCCTGTTTTCAAGATTGTAAAGACTAAACATTTTGTTTAATAAAAAAACTATTGTAATTATTTAAAATCATTCAGAATCAATCTGCTCTCCTTCCCTTTTGCCCTCCGTCCCCCTTTCTCCTCCTCCTTTCTTTCTTCTCTCGTCTTTCAGCAGCATAATGGGAACAGCACAGGCTTTGAAGTCAGAGACCTGGCCTATTGGCTTCTTTGATCTGTGGCACTTCACTTTGCTAAGTCTCAATTTCCTCATTTGTAAACCATGAATAATTATACAATGGTAGTAGTCCCGGTCATAGGTGTAGAGGTATAGGATCTTTAAAAACCCCATAATAGGGGCGCCTGGGTGGCTCAGTTGGTTAAGCGACTGCCTTCGGCTCAGGTCATGATCCTGGAGTCCCGGGATCGAGTCCCGCATCGGGCTCCCTGCTCAGCGGGGGGTCTGCTTCCCCCTCTGCCCTCTTCCCTCTCCCCTCTCGTGTTCTCTGTCTCTCATTCTCTCTCTCTCTCAAATAAATAAATAAAATCTTAAAAAAAAAAAAAAAAACACCCTTAATAGAACCATTGGCTATTAAAGAACTTGAGACATCATTCAAGAGGTGGGAATAGAAATGAAGTCAGAAATAGACCTATGGAATGTCTTTATAAAACTGTTTACATGGGGGGCGCCTGGGTGGCTCAGTTGGTTAAGCGACTGCCTTCGGCTCAGGTCATGATCCTGGAGTCCCGGGATCGAGTCCCGCATCGGGCTCCCTGCTCAACGGGAAGTCTGCTTCTCCCTCTGACCCTCCCCCCTCTCATGCTCTCTCTCTCTCTCTCATTCTCTCTCTCAAATAAATAAATAAATAAAATCTTTAAAAAAAAAAAAACTGTTTACATCTGTTGAAATAAAACGATAGGGACCATACACACAAATACACACATATAAAATTAGTAATATGAATTATATTAATTTCTACTTACTATGCTTGACTTGCCAGAAACTTCCAGATTATTTCATGAGAAGTTGAAACAGTCTCATTGTAAATTTGTTTTGCTTTTTACATGGATAATAGATATTCCAAGAAGCTCATTTTTCCCTCTATCTGGTCTTCATCCAAATGTACACTTCCTTTGTAAGACTTTCCAAGTGTCAACCATTTCCTGGGTAATCTCTACCTTCTCCAGCCCCTCTGAACTTCAGAGACAGAGCAGTTTGGATGTTTGATATGGAAAAAGCTTTGGCTGACGATGTTTAACCTCCTCAACTATTGTCAGACACTGTCTCTGATCTGTAGGGTTTTATACTCTTAGCTCCCCATGACACTGTTAATTCCTCTTTATCGAGTCTACTAGAATATATTTCTGAGGCCATGATCTACTCTGTCCCTCATGTTATCTGTCTCCAGAGGCATAATTGTAAAATCTCCTCCTGCTCCTCTACCATCTGTTCCACCTCTCTTTTCTTAATTCTCCTTTGTTCTAATTATCCTCAGTAGAAGTTCTTTGCAATTTACATATCCTGAGACTAAAATCCTCAAAGTAGTTTAAAAGATATCTAGGAGCAAATTTTCCATATATTTGTCTTTCCCTTATCTTACAAGGGAACCCTCACAGAGTAAATTCTCTTTAAATGGAAATAGTAATACCATGGAAACTAACAGTACTTAGTTACTTCAATAATTGACAAACAAGCATATGTGTGATAATTAGTGTTTATGCTGTTGAACCTTTAGGACAAAAATAGGCTAAGCAGGATTATAAAGACAAAAGAAATTGGTGGAAACAGTGCAGAGGATGTATGGGATTGTTGCTATTAAAAAACTCAAAAACCATTAACATCCTAAGAGGAGGACAGAGAACAGCACTCCCCAAAAACTCAGTTACAAAGGTGACTGCCAAAGATGGCTCTTGGTCACCTATTCCAGGAGGAAATCCAAATCAGTCCTAAATGTCAGGAAATTCCTCCTAAATATTAGGAAGTGTTTAAGTGAGACTTTTCATTGAAAGTCATGTTCTTGTAACCTGACTGGGTGTGGGATGTTTCTACTCAAATTTCCAAATAGTAGTACTCACCATTATAGAAGGATGACTGTCGGGCGTCTGGGTGGCTCAGTCGTTAAGCGTCTGCCTTCGGCTCAGGTCATGATCCCAGGGTCCTGGGATGGAGTCCCACATCTGGCTTCCTGCTCAGCGGGAAGCCTGCTTCTCCCTCTCCCACTCCCCCTGCTTGTTCCCTCTCTCGCTGTCTCTCTCTCTGTTGAAGAATAAATAAAGTCTTTAAAAAAAAATAAAAATAAATAAATAAATTTAGAAGGATGACTGTCACTACTTCTTCAACTGGTTAAAGGTATGGAATGTATGTAAAAGACCCAGTATAATATAGTGCCTGGTATATAAAAGGTGTTTTCTAAAGTATCAGTTCCCTTACACTTCTATTTAAACAAATTTACTTTTTTTTCTCCTAGGATTTGGATGTAGCTTTGCCCATTATGGAGAATTATAAAGATCAGTTGTTGGCAATTGGAGAGGTAACACCAAATAGCTGATCAAATGACTGCTAATCCAGACTTTTCATATGATATATGAATATAATCTTTAGTTCACTATTGGTGATTATAACTGACTTAGATAATTATATTCACTTCATTTAGCTGGATAATAATTTGTCACTACTTCCTCAATAAGCAAAAGAGCCTGAGGTAAGACAGTAGAAAGCCCCACTATAGATTTATGTTAATGAAAGAAAACTACTTTATTAGCATTTCTGTGTACTTTGTTCTTTTTTTTTTCCTTTTCTTAAATAGGGTCGTCATCTCTATAGTTAGTTAACGCAGTATATACAGACATACTTCAAATAGACTAGAGTTTGTTGGGGTGCCTGGCTACCTCAGTTGGTGGAGTATGTGACTCTTGATCTCAGGGTCCTAAGTTCCAGCCCCACATTGGACGTAGAACTTACTTAATAAATAAATAAAATATATATTTTTTGAATTTAAAAATAGGCTAGAGTTTGTAATTAAAGAACATTTTTTATTAAATAATTTACAGTTGTGAAGCATTTTTATCACTTGGTAATAAACTCCACTTCTAATCAAAGATAAAAGATAAGAGTAACACTTAAATTAGAATATAGACTTTAGCAATGTATGCCAAAAGAGTATCAAGGGAAACAGTCATTTATAATCTTCACTGTCCAATGTAGTAACCACATACAGCACTTGAAATGTGATGGGTCCAAATTGAGATATGCTATAAATATAAAACACACAGGATTTCAAAGTCTTAGTACCCAAAAAAAGAATGTAAAATAATGCAATGATTTTTTATATTGATTTTGTATTGAAATAATAATATTACTATATAATAATAATGATGTTTTAGACATACAGATTAAATAAAGTGTATCATTAAAATTAATTTCACCTGATTCTTGTTAGTGTTTTGGTTTTTTTTTTTAAAGATTTTATTTATTTATTTGACAGGGAGACACAGCGAGAGAGGGAACACAAGCAGGGGAAGTGGGGGAGGGAGAAGCAGGCCTCCCTGGGATCATGACCCAAGTGGAAGGCAGATGCTTAACAACTGAGCCACCCAGGCACCCCTCTTGTTAGTGTTTTTAATGTGGCTACTAGAAAATGTAAAGTTATATATGTGACTTGCATGTATGGCTCCCATCATATTTCTCTTGGACAGCACTGCTCCACAGTATGTCTTTTGAATTCATTAAACCGTAAACATGTAAATCTGTTTTATCTTTCTGTTACAGGTGGGACTAGATTTCTCCCCCAGATTTGCTGGCACTGATGAGCAGAAAGAAGAGCAACGACAAGTCCTAATCCGACAGGTCCAGTTAGCCAAAAGATTAAATTTGCCTTTGTAGGTTAATTAACCATCTTTCTATATTAATAGCTATAGAGAAAATTAAATAATGATTCTCCTGAGATGGAGCTCTGTATTTTTTTTTCTCTGAATTACTTTAATAGAACAAAAATAATACTTTGAGATTAAGTACCTAAAAGGAATTTTTTGTTGTTAAACAGAAATGTTCACTCACGCTCTGCTGGAAGACCCACCATCAGCCTCTTGAATGAGCAAGGTATTTAGGTTCCTGAGAGAAGTGTGCCTAATATTTATGTTTGACAGTTCCAGTCCACATGCACATAGAATAAGCTGTGTTTTAATTTGATTTCTTAAAGGGAAGGGAGTGGGGCAAGAGTGGAGGTGGAAATGAACTAAGGTGATTTTGCAAGTCAGCCTACTTTCAAGAGTGATTATGACATTTAGAAGGCCAGCATAGAGCAAATGAAAAATTGGATCAAGTAATTTATATTCCTTAGTTTAAAAATTAACAGCTCTAATTTTTTAATCAGCTTAAGTAGCTGATTAATGAGAGAGGAAAAAACAAAGCAAAGATGGGTTACTGTCTTGCATGTTTTCTGGCTGCTGCCTCAGAAAATGGTATTATACAGGTCGTGGCCATCATACCAGAAATGCACTGTTATCTTCACCTGTTGCTCCTAAAGTAAAAATATATCTTATAGCATTACTTTTCAGACTTTTTAAAGTACCATCCACAGTAAGAAATACACTTGAGTACTTTTTTTGGTACTTAGACTTTATTTTGAGACTCAGTATATACATATACAGAAAACTGGCCAAAGTTTAAGGAGCAGTACATCTATATGTATGTGCAGATAGGCATATATAAATATGTACATATACATATATGCAGTCACACATATACACATAAGCATATGCTGGTCAGTCGAGACCCACTAAATTGATTCCATAATTCATTTATGATTGTAACCCACTATTGATCATGTCTACTGTTTGAAAAAAACAGTATCAAATAGTAAAGTAAGTGTAATTGCCTGCAACTAGAAAGCATTGTATTTCTCAGTGATGAGAATCACTGGAATTACTCATACTGAGCATGATTTTTATGCAGGCTGAGCAGCCATCCTTTAAGAACTGGAGGTGATTTGGTGAAGCCAGTCCTAACTATTGAGTCTCTGAGTCATTGAGCTCCCTGTTTCTTCTTTCACTAGCATTCTTGTTAAGGATAATTTCACTGCTTAAAAATCTAGTAGGAATAATAATTTGACAGTTTACAAACTTCTAGAAAAAGTTTGATAGTATAAGAAGTTTAAATATTTATTTAAAAATTTATATTTTTTCTAATGTAGGCTCCACGCCCCATGTGGAGCCCAACGTGGGGCTTGAACTCACGACCCTGAGATCAAGACCTGAGCTGAAATCAAGAGCTGGATGCTTAACTGACTGAGCCACCCGGGGGCCCTTAAAAAATTGTATTTCGATTTTATTCTGAAGATTAAGAATGTTCTCTATTTTTTATTTTACTGTTTGAACACTGTACATTTACCCTTTAGAAATCATATAGGGGCACCTGGTTGGAAGAGCATGCAATTCTTGATCTCAGGTTTTGAGTTCAAGCTCCATATGGGGTGTAGAGATTACTTAAATAAATAAAACTTAAGAAAAAAAAAAAGAAGTCATAGAACCTCATCTTTATATTATAGTGACCAAAGTTTACTTAAAATTTATAATCTATGTTGCCCACTTTGATTAGTGGGAAAACTTCTTGTTAAGGAAATGAAAGGAAACTCTAAATTATCTTTAATCTTTAACAGGTGCTGACAAAGTGCTCCTGCATGCATTTGATGGCCGGCCATCTGTAGCGATGGAAGGAGTAAGAGCTGGGTACTTCTTCTCAATTCCTCCTTCTATCATAAGAAGTGGACAGGTAAGTTCCTTACCTAAGCCTCATTTTATGCTTTGTAAAATACCCTTTAAATCATGAGCTTTTATTACACACTTGTAATACTATTCGAGTTACATTACAAAAAGTAATCATCAGTCCCTACCTCACATGTATATGAAAAGTAGCTCAAAAATGAATCAAAGAGCTAAACCCAAGAGCTAAAATTTATAAAACTATTAGAAGAAAACAAATCAAAATCTTTGTAACTTTGGAATAAGCAGTGGTTTCTTACATATGACACCAAAAGCACAAGCAACCAAAGAAAAAAATAGATAAATTGGACATCGTCAAAATTTAAAACTTCCACAATAAAACAGTTTTTGAACTTTATGCTTCAAAAAACACTATTGAGAAAGTGAAAAGATAACCCACAGAAGGAGGAAAGGTGTTTGCAAACTATATCTGGTAAGGGTCTAGTATTCAGAGTACATAAAATACCATTACAACTCACCAAGTAGAAAGACAAATAATCTGGGGTGCCTGGGTGGCTCAGTCGTTAAGTGTCCAACTCTTGGTTTGAGCTCAGGTCGTGATCTCCAGGTTGTGGAATTGAGCCCTGTATCAGGCTCCACACTTGGTGGGGAGTCTGCTTGAGATTCCCTCCCTCCTTCCTCTGCCCCTCCCCGCTCACACTCACTTTCTCTCTCTCTCTCTCTCTCTCTCTCTCTCTCGCGCGCGCGCTTTCAAATAAATAAATAAATCTTAAAAAAAAGAAAAAAAGACATGTTGGATTTTGTCAAATGTTTTTTTCTTTTTAAAGAAACTGTTTATTTCTATCAACCTTATTTCCATTTTCTGTTTGTCAAATGTTTGTTCTGCCTCTACTGAGATGATCATACTGGTCTTCTTTTCTTGGCCTGTAAACTGTATTGATTGATTTTCTAATGTAGAACCAACCTTGTATTCCTTGGATAAATTCTACTTGGTCATGAGCCAGGCATACCTCAGTGATGTTGCAGGTTCGGTTCCAGACTACTGCAATAGAGCAAATATCACAGTAAAGCAAGTCAAGTGAATTTTTTGGTTTCCCAGTGCATATAAAAGTTATGTGTACACTATATTGTAGTCTATTAAGTGTGCAATAGCACTGTGTCCAAAAAAACAATGTACATACCTTAATTTAAAAGTGTTTTATTGTGGGGCACCTGGGTGGCTCGGTCAGTTAAGTGTCCAGCTCTTGGTTTTAACTCAGGTCATGGTCTCGCAGTCATGGGATCCAGCCCTGTGTCCAGCTCCTCATTCAGTGCAGAGTCTGCTTCAGATTCTATCGCTCTACCCCTCCCAGCTAGTGTGCGCTTACTCTCTCTCAAATAAATAAGTAAAAATTTAAAAATAAATAAAAGTATTTTATTGTTAAAAAATGCTAACCATCATCTGAGCTTTCAGGGGGTCATAATCTCCTTGCTGGTGGAGGGTCTTGCCTCAATGTTGGTGGCTCCTGACAGATCAGGGTGATGGTTGCTAAAGGTTGGGGTGGCTGAGGCAATTTCTTAAAATAAGACAACAGTGAAGTTTGCTGCATCCATTGATTCTTCCCTTCAAGAATGATTTTTCTATAGCACATGATGCTATTTAATAGCGTTTTGCCCACAGTAGAACTTCTTTCAAAATTGGAGTCAATCCTCTTAAACCCTGCCACTGCTTTATCAACTAAATATATGTAATATTCTAAGTCTATTGTTATTTCAGCAATCTTCACAGCATCTTCACCAGGAGTAGATTCCATCCCAAGAAACTACTTTCTCTGCTCACCCATAAGAAACAACTCCTCATTCATTCAAGTTTTATTGTGAAATTGCAATAATTCATTCACATCTTCAGGCTCCACTTCTGATTCCAGTTCTCTTACTATTTCCACCACATCTGTAGTTACTTTCTCCACTGAAGTCTTGAACCCCTCAAAGTCATTTATGAGGGTTGGAATCAATTTCTTCCAAACTTCTGTTAATGTTGATATTTGGACCTCTTTCTATGACTTACAGATGTTTTTAATGACATGTAGAATGGTGAATCCTTCCCAGAAGGTTTTCAGTTTACTTTGCCCAGATCCATCCGAGGAATCACTATGTGATACTAACTATAACCTCATGAAATGTATTTCTTAAATAATAACACTTGGAAATCAGAGTTATTACTTGGTCCACAGACTGCAGAATGGTTGTTGTGTTAGCAGGCATGAAAACATTACTCTTCTTGTACATCTCCAGCAGAGCCCTTGGGTGACCAGGTGCATTGTCAATGAGCAGTAATATTTTGGAAGGAATCTTTTTTATCTCAACAGTGGACTTAATTTTTATTAAATCATGTTGTAAGCAGATGTGCCTGCATCCAAGCTTTGTTGTTCCATTTATAAAGCACAAGCAGAATAAATTTAGCACTATTTCTAAGGGCCCTAGGATTTTTAGAATGGTAAGTAAACATTGACTTCAACTTAGTCAACCAACTGCATTAGCACCTAATGAGAGTTAGCCTGTCCTTTGAAGTTTTGAAGGCAGGCATAGATTTTTCTCTCTAGCTACAAAAGTCCTAGATGGCATCTTCTTCCAGTATAAGGCTGTTCTGTCTACATTGAAAATCTATCCTTTAGCATGGCCACCTTCATAAATTCTCTTAGCGAGATTTCTGGGTAACTCACAGCTTCTACATTAGCACTTGCTGCTTTACCTTGCACTTTGATGTTATGGAGACGGCTTCTTTCTGTAAACGTCATGAAACAGCCTCTGCTAGCATCAGGCTCTTCTGCAGCCTGCATAGAATTGAAGGGCCTTGCTCTGAATGGGGCTTCGGCTTAAGGGAAGGTTGTGGCTGGTTTGATCTTCTATCCAGACCACTCAGACTTTCCCTATATCAGTAATAAGGCTGTTTTGTTTTATCATTTGTGTGTTCCCTGGAGCAGCACTTGTAATTTCCCCCAAGAACTTCTTTGCATTCACAACTCAGTGAACTGGCCCAAGACGTCTCACTTTCCGCCTATCTTGGCTTTTCTCACCAGGCTTAATCATTTCTAGCTTTTGATTTAAAATGAGAAATGTGTGACCCTTCCTTTCCCTTGAACACTTAGAGGCCAGTGTAGTGTTATTAGTTGGCCTAATTTCAGTATTGTGTGTCTCAGGAAATAGACCTAAGGAGAGGGAGAGAGACAAGGGAATGGCTGGTGGGTGGAACAGTCAGAACACAAGCAACTTTTAAACTTACCATCTTGTATGGGCGCAGTTCATGGTGCTGCAGAACAATTACAATAGCAACATCAAAGAGCACTGATCACAGATCAGCATAACAAATATAATAACAATGAAAACGGTTGAAATATTGCAAGAATTACCAAAATGTGAATGACATGAAATGAGAAAATGCTTTTGGAAAAAATGGCACCTATAGACTTGCAGGGTTGCCACAAACTTTCGATTTGTAAAAAAACAAACAAAAAAAACACCTCACTGTCTGTGAAACACAATAAAACAAGGTGGGCCTGCATATTATCCTTTTTATAGTTTCATTTTATAGTTTAAGGTAGAACTTTAGATTATTTATTTGTAATCTTTCTTATTTTCTCATGTAAACCTTTACTGCGATAGTTTCATTAGCGCTAACTGGATCTTGTAGATGCAATCCCAGATTTTGATAGATGCTGTATTTTCACTTTCTTTCAGTTTGGAGTATTTTGTAATTTACCTTGTGACTTCCTCTTTGACCATATCGATTATTTCAAAGTGTGTTGCTCAATTTCCAAATACTTAGGAAAATTTGTGGATATCTGCTTGTGTCTATAAATATGGATCTACCTCATCTTTAAAGTGATTGCATAATACTTCACAGTTTGGATGTACCATAATTTATTTAATCATTACCTTAAGATTAGGTCATTTCTAGTGTTTCACTGTTATAAACAGTGCTTCAGTATTCAGCCATAAAAAAGAATGAAATCTTGCCATTTCAACAAAATGGATGGATCAAGAGGGTATTATGCTAAGTGAAATAAATCAGACAGAAAAAGACAAATACTATGTGATTTTACTTTTATGTGGAATCTAAAAAACAAAACAAATGAACAAAGAAAACCAAACAGACTCATAAGAGAACAAACTGGTGGTTGCCAGAAGGGAAGGGGGTGGGGAAATGGGCAAAATAAGTGAAGGGGGTTAAGAGGTACAAACTTTCAGTTACAAACTAAGTTATGGTGTTGAAAAGTACACCATAGGGAATATAGTCAATAGTATTGTGATAATCTTGTATGGTGACAGATGGTAACTACATTTATTGTGGTGAGCATTTAGTAACAGTTGAAAGTTTTAATAATTAATTGAATATGAAAGCATGAATTTTAGGTTCCTGCAAAGTAGGCTGCATTGGTATATGGGTTTAATGCTCCGTTTTTTTTTATCTTTATGTCTCATGTTTTAAACTGACTAGCTTTCTCTTTTCTCTAAGAAACAGAAACTTGTGAAACAGTTGCCTTTAACTTCAATTTGCTTAGAAACAGATTCACCTGCACTAGGACCAGAAAAACAGGTGATTATCTAATTCCTACATTATTTAGATTGTCTTTCTTTTGAGCTATTTTCACCTTAGCTGTGTTTCTCATTACAGTGTAAATACAGTGGAATCCTTTTTTTTTTTTAAGATTTTATTTATTTATTTGAAAGAGAGAGAGTGAATGAGAGGGAGAGAGAATCCCACACTGAGCAGACTCCACACTGAACACAGCCCAACACAGGGCTTGATTCCACGACCACAAGATCATGACCTGAGCCGAACCAAGAGTCAGACGCTTAACCGACTGAGCCATCCAGGTGCCTCCATTGGAATCCTGTTTTAATGCTTGGTTGAGAGGTTTTATTAATTTTATAGCTGTTGTGCTCTAGCGAATATTACTGGATATTGGCCAGGTCTTGATTTACATAATAATGAGAGCCGCACCAGTATAGTAAAAAAACTCAGTGTCTAGAGTCAGAAAGACCTGGATTCAAATCCTATCTCTGCTACCCACTAGCTGAGTGACTTTGGGCAAGTTATTTAATCTCTTTGAATCTGTTTCCTCAGGGCACCTGGGTGGCTCAGTTGGTTAAGCGTCTGCCTTCGGCTCAGGTCGTGATCCCTGAGTACCGGGATCGATCCCCACATCAGGCTCCCTGCTCAGGGGGGGCCTGCTTCCCCTGTCTCCCTGTCCCTCTGCTCCTCTCCCTGCTCATGCTCTCTCTCTTGCTCACTCTCCCTCTCATATAAATAAATAAAATCTTTAAAAAAAACACACACAAAAAAACCTGTTTCCTCATTTACAAAATGACAATAATAACATTAAAATATTACAGTGTGGGGTGCCTGGGTGGCTCAGTTGGTTAAGCGACTGCCTTCAGCTCAGGTCATGATCCTGGAGTCCCGGGATCGAGTCCCACGTCAGGCTCCCTGCTCAGCAGGGAGTCTGCTTCTCCCTCTGACCTTCCCCCTCTCATGTGCTCTCTCTCTCTCTCATTCTCACTCTCTCAAATAAATAAATAAATAAAATCTTAAAAAAAAAATATTACAGTGTGGATTAAATGAAATAATGTATATGAAATGTCTAGCAGTGTCTGGTATATAGTAGATGCTCAAGAAATTTTTTTTTCTTTTAATTGGCATGTTATAATGAGGCTGTTTCTTTCAGTACAAATATTGATATAGTCATGGATTTACTGATCTGATCTTTCTCTACATTTTGTTATTATAGGTCACAAAGAATCATACTTTAAATATTGCTACCTTTTAAAATTATAACTGAAAGGAAGCCAGAGTATCTACTCTTTTTGCCTTAGTGCGTATTATATTCACCTTCCAGTGTGTAGCTAACTTGTGTCCTTGACCGCGCATCAGATCTGTGTCTCCATGCCTGCCAGGTTCAAAAGACTGGCATTCAAGATTCAGCGGTTTGGGAGTAGTTGTGATGTGATTTTTAATAAACTATGATTGTTTATGATTGCAATGTGAATGTTGCTAATTAATGTCCAATTAGATACATATTTTTGTAAGTCAGCTCTTAAAAATATAGAAGACAGAAAAATCACAATTCCAGTTATTTGTTTGGGTATAGAACAAAATGGTACAGAATTGCTTTCCTGGTTAGTGTAAACTAGAAGGAAAAGGACCTAGCATTTTTTTTCCCTAAACAGGAATGAATTTCATTTTTTTTTTTTAATTTATTTGAGAGAGAGAGAGAGAGAGAGAGAGAGCACAAGCTGGGGGAAGGGCAGAAAGAGAGGGAGAAGCAGACTCGCCACTGAGCAGGGAGCCCGATGCAGGACTCCATCCCAGGGCTCCAGGATCATGACCTGAACCGAAGGCAGACACTTTTTTTTTTTTTTTAAGATTTTATTTATTTATTTGACAGAGAGCAACACAAAGAGAGAGGGAACACAAGCAGGGAGAGTGGGAGAGGGAGAAGCAGGCTTCCCGCAGAGCAGGGAGCCCGATGCGGGCCTCGATCCCAGGACCCTGGGATCATGACCTGAGCCAAAGGCAGACGTTTAACGACTGAGCCACCCAGGTGCCCCTCATTGGTTTTTACCAACTCACTTTGTTCTGTTTTGTCTATGGTCTCCAAGATTGCTTCCCTTGACTGTCATATCTGATTCACTTTCTGCTTTGTTCTGTTTCAGGTACGAAATGAACCCCAAAACATTTCCATTTCAGCAGAATATATTGCCCAGGTGAAGGGGATCTCAGTAGAAGAAGTTATAGAAGTGACAACACAGAATTCATTGAGGCTGTTTCCTAAGCTTCAGCATCTGCTCCAGAAGTAGCTTCAAAACCAAATGACATAGGGGACAGCATTTGAGAGAAAGAAATGTTCTGAGTAGGAGTCTGAACTGAAGTGTGAGGCCATTATATAAGGATATAGAAGATTATGATTTTAGAGAAATATTTCTCCTAAAACCGGGCTTGGGTCCTGAAACCCTGGATTCTGATTCTACCTTGTGCTTCTTTATAATTAATGGAGTCCTAGCAAGAGATTGGGAAACACCACTGCTTCTTACCTTACACCATTAAGTAGAACCCACCATATGACCTGAAACCATTTCTTCTGGCAAGGGAGGCTCCCCCAGGTAAGACATGAGCGGTATTGGGACAGCTAACGTTTGATCCTTCACCACCACAGGATTTATCTAGTGGAAGGAGATCATCTTGTTTCTTACACTGTCAGAGATCTCTTTTCTGGGTTTGTAAAATTGAATTGTTAGTACTTTGAATTACTTCTTTTTAAGAGCAAAATGTATAGGTTTTTATATTGATCATAGATTTTGACTTACGAGGCCAGTGGTTTGTGCTATCACCATTAAGTGCCAAGCCCCAAAGTTTAAGTAATAAACCGAGTTTAAGTTCCAGTCTGAATATTGTCACGTTTAAAATGTACATAGCTTTATTAAAATGTATCTGACTATTTTTGCATACAGTGATATTTTATATTTTTAAGTTTTGAAAATCTTGGCTGCAAAGAGTTCTGTGGATGGATGGTGGGTACAGTAGCACGATAATGTGAATGTATGTAATGCCACTAACCTACACACCGGTCGTTATTAAAGTGGTATTTTATGTTATGTCTATTTTACCCCAATTTTTAAAAATCTCATATGTAGTTTACTAAATGTTGTGACCCATACCAAGGCCTGCATATTTAATTTTACTAAATTATACAAGCAGCAAATACTGGAAAAAGTGCCTATCATAGAAAAAAATTAATTTCCTAAAAAGCTAAGTGATTTTACATAATCTTTAGTATTTTGAAATTAATTTATTTATAGAGGAATCAAAACTAGTTCTAGGGCAGACTGTCCAAACCAAACTAGATTAGCTAAGAAACCGAAGAGGGTACTTCATGAAGCACTTGACCACCCATCAGCATCATGAGAGATGACATTCCTACATGTAGTGGGAGATTCTATTAAAATCAGACTTCTGGCTCTCTTTCAACTCTATTTCTTCCGCCTGTTTCCTACCCTTTCTGCCCACACTCCCTTTGTCAAACTCTCACCTTTAAATCCTTTCAGATCCAACTTAAATGACTTCCCCTGGCTCCATCACTCCAGCCACATACAATCCCTGCCCTCTGAATTGTGTAGCTTTCTTCATTTACTCATCAATTTATTCGTTTCATTTATCACACAAACAGTTGTGGAGCCCCTCCAATAGGTTTCCCACTAATCTAGGTCCATAGGTTACAGAGAGGAATAAGACATGGTCCTTGCCTTCAGTTCAAAATGTAATAAAGTGGACAAATAATTTCAAAACAATGTGAGAAGTACTATAATAAAGGAGGAATGAGGTTCTACAAAACCAGTCAGATGACATTTAACACACATTCCTTTTTACTAGGGTTACCTTGTATATGTTTTTGTCTTTAGAAATTACAGACCATTTGAGAACAAACCAATTTTATTTTCTTTTTGCATCTTCTCTGTGGTCTGAAACAAGGTTTGCAATATCATATGCTCTTACATATCTTTTAAAATAAGCGAATGGAGGTAGTAAGTCCAACTGACTGCAGCTGACAAGTTAGATATGTTCTCTTTCAATCTGCTCTTTGAAATGGAGATTTAATACTCTGTACCTTTTAACTGGTTCGGCTTTTGTTTTGTTTTGTTTTGTTTTGAGGTGCATATTTTTCATCTCCAGCCTATGAATGTATTAAATGTTATTCAAAGATTTCCTAATGTTAAACATTCTGAAAAATAGGAATAAACTCTCATGGTCCAGAAAAGCAAATCTTTAATGTTCTGTAGGAATACCCTCCCCCAAGTGAAAGGCTAGAAGGGCTTTTCTAACCCCCTCCCCTCTGACAGCATATGGTGACCTTCTTTACTAAAGGAAACATTTCTTATTCCAGCGTTTGTCTTTTTTTATTCTGGTAAGAAAAGGTAAGAATCAGATGAATATGTATCATTCTTTAAATTAAAAAAGAAAAATTAATATCAACTCTTTTCTTCCATTATTATGCAACCAAGGGTTCATTTGATCACCTTGCTGCTGCTTTTCTATCTCCTGCCCACTACTTTTCTTAATAATCCTCCACCATCCTCTTGCTGTTGCATATTTCCTTCCCCTCTCCCAGATCCTTCTTCTAAGCTGAACATAAAGAAGAGTCTTGTTTTTGCGTGCTTGAGCTACACTCATACTTCAGAGTTTAATTTTTTAATTTGCCCTTTCTTGCCCCTTTCATGCTTTTGATTGAATACTTCACAGTAACATATTTGAATTGACATTTCATTTACAGGATCTGGGTAACTTACAAAGGGTTTCCAGAAACTGTTCTGTACTTTTTAGAGTTTAGCTTTTCAATCATAAGCAAATCTCACTGTCCTTTTTATTTATTTTTTTCACGGCCCTTTTAAAACTATGACAGAGTCTGTGCTAATAATTACAAAGTCAGTCCAAAAGATAGAGTGGAAAGAAATTAGATAATTCTAATTATCTAATTATCAGTGTTACAAGCTTAAACATGAGGCTTCAAGCAAAAACATCCTAGTACGCCCTCCTTACCCTCCTTATTTTTGGCTAATTCCAAAGCAAGCACATCTCTAAAAAAGATGACTTCTTTGGTGAACATCTCTGTAATTCGTTAACAACCTGAGTATTATTTATACCTTGCATGTTAAAACTGGTGCAAATAACATTTCCCAAGTTAATAGTTTAATATAATAAACATAGAGAACCATGCATAGCATATAAAAGCGGAAAGTATTAAAAGTCTAATGTCCTCTGTACAGGACCTTTCTGTGGATTGCTTCTGAAGCCCAAGTAATTTAAATAAATTGTGTAAATACTCACAGTTTATGTGTGATACGTTTCGAATTATAATCCCCTGACTTCCATTCCAGCACTTTTTTCCAAATATCCCAATTTGATCTTTGCATTAGTTTAACATCCTTCAAAAGCCATCCTTTGGGTATTTCAAATCAAGAACTCTGAATTTAAGTAGATAGGCAGTAACTAAGGGAAGCAGTAGGAGAGAGAAGGGGTCTTGAGGTCTTGAGGTTCATATGGATGGACATCTATCTTTTTTTTTTTTTGGCCATGACACATGTGAATTGCTCTCTTTAGTGAATCTCTCACCTTGTAGAAGTTGAAAATGCCAGGTAGTCACTTTCCAGCCTTCTTTGCAACAAGGCACTGACACCATGACCCCCCCTTGAGTTTGAATTATTTGAGGGATTTGAAGAGGCCAGGACTGACCGACTCCATTCTGGTGAGGTGGATAGTATAGCAGTGAATTTAGAGTCCAGCTTGGCAAGGTTGGCAGTGTGCACTGCAGGGTCTGTGCTCAGTGGCTGTGGCAGTGGTCTTTATGCTTCTGGTTCAGTGGCATGAATTTGGTTTTTCAGGCCTCCTGGAGATTTTATCCAATAACCTTCGGTAAGTTCATTTCCTTAAATTAGCTAGATTTCGTTTCTGTTGTTTATATCTTTAAGAATCCTGATTGGTGAGAAGATCGATACCCTAAAGTAGTTGTCACCAAGAAACCCTTGGGGAGGGGCGCCTGGGTGGCTCAATCGTTAAGCATCTGCCTTCGGCTCAGGTCATGGTCTCAGGGTTCTGGGATTGACCCCGCATCGGGCTCACTGCTCTGCAGAGAGCCTGCTTCTCCGTCTCCCACTCCCCCTGCTGTGTTCCCTCTCTCGCCGTCTCTCTCTGTCAAATAAATAAATAAAATCTTTAAAAAAAAAAGAAAAAGAAACCCTTGGGGAAGTGAAGGAAAGAAGGAAGGGAGAGAAGGAACAAGGATTCCTTATAGAGCCTGTAGAGCGTTCCAGGCAGCCATGTCCAGGGAGAAGGCACTGGCAGTCCATGGCAGATGGTGATTTATCTTGTGAAAGCATTTCAAAAGACATTCTTAGAGCAAGAAGGATACATGTTGATTTGGGCATAACGCAAAGGCTACACTGCATTGAACAGTTTCATTCTTTTTCTCCACTTTTCCTGTATTTGTAGAATCCCTTAGCTTACGAGGCACAGCCCGTCTTCCACTCTAGAAGCTGAAGATGCCAAATACTTGCTTTCCCAAATTTTCTTACCAACTATCACAGTTATATGACCTAAGTTCCACCAATACTGCACCCAACCCAGTCTTGGAATCTGAAGCCAGGGATGTAAAGATAAAGAAACCGGCTGTGTGGACACCATGCGGGGGTGGGAGGTGGCACCTGCACCCAGTTGAGAGGCACTGGTGGCCTTGATTGTCCTGTATTATCTAGCATCCGAAGGCAGTGAGTCCTCCTGCACTTTGTGGCCCGATCCTGGGCATTGTTTCTAGCTCTGTGACCTACAAACCGGGTCCACTGGCCTTCTTGGCGCTTGTGTGAGCTACCCAATATATTTAATAAATTCCTTGTCTGCTTAAATTATTCCAAGTTGGTTTCTGTTTCTTGAAACTAAGAACTCTGACCGCTGTAATAGTCAGTCCACAAAACTCCACCCAGGGGATGTCTCACATTGCTGTCCACACCACCACAGACAGCAAAGTTCGTCAATGCAATACTTTCACCAAACAAATTTGAAGTCCATTTTATTTTATTTTTTTAAAGATTTTATTTATTTATTTGACAGAGAGAGACACAGCGAGAGGGAACACAGCAGGGGGAGTGGGAGAGGGAGAAGCAGGCTTCCCGCCGAGCAGGGAGCCCGATGCGGGGCTCGATCCCAGGACCCTGGGATCATGACCTGAGCTGAAGGCAGATGCTTAACGACGGAGCCACCCAGGCGCTCCTAAAGTCCATTTTAACAGGCACCTTCTGCAATCAGTAGCTCCCTAATGGAGGAAATCTGTATGTAAATACATTTTTATCTGCTGCTTCTAACTTTCTGATCTTAGGCCCGACTGGAAGCATTTATTGTTAATAGAAGTTAAGGAGTCTGGAACTGTCATTGAAGTATCCAAAATTTTTAAAAATAGAGAGAAAGGGCGCCTGGGTGGCCCAGTCATTAAGCATCTGCCATCAGCTCAGGTCATGATCCCAGGGTCCTGGGATCGAGCCCCACATCGGGCTCCCTGCTCGGCGGGAAGCCTGCTTCTCCCTCTCCCACTCCCCCTGCTTATGTTCCCTCTCTCGCTGTGTCTCTCTTTGTCAAATAAATAAATAAATAAAAGTCTTTAAAAAAAAAAAATAGAGAAAACTTTTCATTGGTGGAATGAGTAAAGCTCAGATATTTGGATTAGCTAGATATATAATTCTTGCATGAGTTAGATATATTTTTAAATGGCTGGAAAAACATCAAAAGGATAATAATATTTCACAATATGTGAAAATTATATGAAATTCAGATTTCAGTGTCCATAAAGTTTTATTGGGACACAGTTATGCTCATTCGTTTTCCTGTGTCTGTGTTCATTCTTCGGTGACAGAATTGACTATTTGCACCAGAGATCACATGGACGAAAAACTAAAATACCTTTAGCCTTTTACAGAAAATGGTTAGCTGACCCCTGGCCTATACTTTTCAGAATAATGCCTGAGGCCCAGGGTGTCTCCTGGTCTGGAATTCAGCCCCTTAAAGAGGATCCAGTCACCTGAATTGAACTGGAAGGCTCACTCAGCCCCAACCAGAGTGGTGGTTCTCATTCCTGGCTGCACATCGGTATTACCAGGGGCGCTTTTAAAAAGTTCCCACATGTCTGGTCCGACCCAGATCATTTAAATGAGAATTGCTGGAATCGGGGTCTAGGGAAGTGAATTTTTGAAAAGCTCACTAGATGTTTCTGAAGTGCAGCCAAAGTTGAGAGCCATGTGCTGGAAAATGGAGTGACTCCAAGAAAGGTGTTTGTGGTCGTGCCTTAAACTGCAGTGCTTTTCAAACTATATATAGGTCAACTGAGGATCTTGTTAAAAGACAGGTTCCATTTCAGTAGAGCTGGGGTGAAACCTGTGATGGGGTCCAAGGCAGGCCCCCCCAAATATGCCACTCTGCAATAGTAATTATTTGGGTTATTTTGAATCAAAGTTACTTAAGAAGCAGCAGTGCAAGAAGGACACTCTGAGCCTCCTTTGTCCTCCTGCAAGCAGGAAATAAATCTCCCCTGTGAAAGGTACCCTCCCGAATCAGGAGGTGAAGAGACATCCTTATCACCAGAGATAGGGAATTCAGCACTGAGAGGCTTAGTATAAACACTCGTTTCTTCTTCACCAGTTTACTAGCCCAAGCCCAGACTTGTCTTGTCAGTTCCTCACAATTTTCTTGTTTCTTTGTCTGAAAGGTATACAAGTTCTGCTTTGGTCACTTCCTTTGAGTCTCATATTTTTGTGAGCTCTCCTATGAAATTAAATTTGCCTTTCTCCTGTAACTCTGTCTTACGTCAATTTAATTATTAACCAGCCAAAGAACCTATAAAGGAAGAAGGAAAAGTTTTCCTCCCTTATACCTAAGATCCCATATTTCAAAAAACTTGCAGATATTGCAGATGCTGCTGGTCCGTGACTAGCAGGGTGAGGGCAAGGACTTCATTGAACCTGTAGAACATATTCCGTGACTTGTATTTTTGCCTGCTTAGTAATGAGTAGTTGCTCGAAAGAGTTCTACTTCAGATATGGTAGTCAGCTAAGGCCTCTGAGGACATGACGTGCTAGTTGAGTTGCTGAAGAGTGCAAAGGGATCAGATCTGAGAAGAATGGGGAAAGAACTTCCCAGGCAGAGAGGAGCTGATGTGATGGCCCTAGGGCAAGAAGGACTCACTTTTGAATGGCCTGTGTGACTACAGGGTGACAGAGATTGATGCTGTTGGTTTCGTTAATAGGAAAGATAATGTTTAAAAAGGAGATGCCTCCATTGATCCTTGCTGGGTATATCACCTTGAAATCAGTTCTCAGAAAATCAGAGGAATTCAGTCACCCTGAGAAGGAAAGCAATTCACAGGAAGATGAAAAGGAGTGTTAGCTGGGCCATACCGAAATAATGGGACACAGAGAGGACTTGTAACAGACTTTGCTAGGTTCCTCCCTATTCCACACCTAGTTCATATTGCCCTGTAGTTATTGATGGTGATAGCTCTCTTCCTGGAGCAGGTCCTCGATCTAAATTCTTTCAGGCAGTTAGCGGGAAGGTCAAAGTTTCTTCCTTAGTCTTTGAGGTCTTGCTGGTGTTCAGCTCAAGAGTCATCTACGTGCCAAAATGGCTGCCTACAGCAGCAATGGTGAGCCATGCCGAAGTCTTTTCTGGAGTACCAGGGGTGCCACAGGGGGCCTTCCTGCAGGAGCATTACTGGTCTTCACTTGGAAACTCACCTGCAGACAGCCATACAGGGATCCAGAGCAGAAAAGGAGGAAAATGCTGGTCCCCACATGTTTATGAGGGAACACGTGCATCAACAGATATGAAACATTACTGGGAGGGGGTAGAGGAGGTGGCTGGACTCCTCGTGATTTCAGGTAGTCATGAGGGAGCAGAAGGCTAGCTGAAGACCGAGCAGAAGCTGACACCCTGCAACCTCCCCCCACCCGCACCCCCCACTCCTGGGTGGGACATGTGTGACATTCTTCCAGGGATCTCCCAACTATCTTAATGTTAATACTTTGCTAGAGGGGAAAACAACCTTAACATGACAATGGCAAGACCTCTGGTATCTTGTAGGTATCTTGTAGATCTGTCCTCTTTAGCATATGAAAGTTCTTTTGAAACCTCCCTTTTCCTTACTTCCCGCAACTCCCGAGTATATAATCACCACTCCTCAAGACCCCAGTGCAGCGCTCTTTCTGCCCACAGATCCTGTCCCTGTGCTTTAATAAAACCACCTTTTTGCACCAAAGACGTCTCAAGAATTCTAGGTCATCGACTCCGGACCCCACCCCACTGAACCTCACCTATATTCCAAAACCCCATCTGTAGGGTCAGAGTCCGAAATATATACGGTTTTGGGGGCTGCCGAAGGATGTATAGAGGAAGAGGATGCGGAAACACCTATTAGGAAAAAGGGCTGGGGGAGGGAAGGTTTCCAGGAGAAGGTGGTATTTAAACTAAAGCAAGCCAAGTGAAGGGAGGATAACAGAATAAGGCAGAGAACCACAAATAGTTCCTTAAAACCTGGAGGAGAAGGTAGGAGGGGATTACAGAGAAATGAGGTTAGAAGAATTGTTAATTATATAGTACATAACTGGACATTCACTGTGTGTTTATTCCCCAGGATTCATATTAGAGTGAACCCAAGGAATGATGTTGTATCTGATGGTCTTTATTTGAGTTGCTCGGTGTTGAGAGATAATTCTCCACAGAGCTCTCACATTTCTGCATGTCTTGGGAGCAGAGGCACCAACAGCTTTTGTTCCAGACTACCTCTTCAAGGATGTTTGTAGCCAAGGACCTTGGATGGCAGAAATAATGTCTCACTGGAACAGAGGGAAGGTTTATTTACCATCCAGTATAATACAGTTTGGGTTTCTTAAGCTCAGGGGTCCTCAGGTGTGAGGCAAAACCTCTGTGTATGTGGCATCTATCTGGACAGTTCCATATTGCCATGGAGGGCAAGGGGGACCCACCTAAACATGAGGCTTGTGCTACTTGCTGTGCTTGGAGTAATAAAGTCCTTTGCCTCAGAGCTAGGAGCCTTCTGCCTTCTGTCAAAGCTCATGAAGCTGTGGTAGGCTAACCTTCAAAGCTCTTGACACTAGGTGTTTGCCTTCTTGAGAAGCAAAAAATTAGTTTTGGGTCTGGCTTTTTTTTTTTTTTTTTAACATCAAGAGTTAATGAATCTTATCCGTATTGGGCACTTGTGAAGTCCCAGCTGAGGTAGGATTTTAGGCCAGTTGAATAATCCATATCCCTTCTAATACAAAAATACTCTGGTTTATGAATCTGAGCTTTCTGTGGAAGCAAAGGGCAACTAAATACAAGGTGAATATTTCACTGATGTAAAGACAAGTGCCAAGAAGCCAGGCAGTGCTTGGCTTACCAAATGGAATAGGCTATGACCTCAGGCTACAACATGGAACACACACCAGCTTAAAATCAAAAAATAGTCTGCTATCCAGGAAACAATGACACAGAGGTGATGGTAGCCAAATGGGGTTTGGCCACAAGATGATTCTGGCAATGCCCACTTTGGAGCTGGATAATGAAATAGAACAGAAGTCTCTGTAGGCACCTTATATTACCTTCTCAAGTATGTACTTCTTCAAATTATCAAAATCGCAGCTTTAACAGAGTAAGTTAATGCAATTACACAATAGAAGCAAGTGTTAGCTTTGAGAAACTTGAGTCTTCAACTTGACTAGTGGGATTGGTCAACACATCTACTAATTTCAAAAACAAGCTATTTAAACATTCTAGGTTAGGGGCACCTGGCTGGCTCAGTTGGAAGAGCATGCGACTCTTGGTCTTGTGGTTGCGGGTTCGAGCCCCATGTTGGGTGTAGAGATTACTTAAATAAATAAACTTAAAAAAAAATAAAACATTTTTTACAAAAGAGAAGATCACTGTAAAGTGAACTTTTTGGTCATTCATCTTTGAAACTATCTTTAATCACTCAAAACCTCTCCAGAACATCCAAGTCTAAATAATGGTTTGGAATGAATAAGATATGTTTTATGTGACAATAAAATGTTTTCTTGGTGATCCAGTGAATAATTTTTTTTTCTTCTTTTATAATTAATATTTGTAAATAAGACAGACATTGAGGAAGGATCAAAGAGATTATATTTCTTTGTGTCTCTGGAGATGCACTTTATCCAAATATGGCATTATCTGAAAAATAAAAAGAAGTAGTTGTTAGATAACGTATAATACATTTCGTAGTTCCAGAATAACCCTGAAGGCAGAGAGGATGAGTACTGCTTCACAGATACAGAAAGGAAGGCTTAGAAACATTAAATGACTAAGCGCATGACATTAGTCAATGGCAGCAGCAGAACTTGAACCCAAGTGCAATGGACCGAATGTTTATACTCCCCCATCACCGCAAATTCTTATGTTGAAACCCTAATGACAGTATGATGGTGTCAAGAGCTGGGGCTTTTGGGAGATAATTAAGTCATGAGGGTGGAGTCCTCATAAATGGGATTAGTGCCCTTAGAAGAAGAGGCCAGAGAGCTAGCTAGCTCTTTCTGCCGTGTGACGACACAGCAAGAAAACAGCCCTCTCTAAGCCAGGAAGAGGGCATTCGTCAAGAACCCGACCATTTTGGCACCCCAATCTCAGAATTCCAGCCTGTAAACTAACAGCCTGAACTAAGATACCTGCATCTTCTGTTTTTAAGGCTAGTATGCCCCTCTTTGGGCCTCCACATCTCCAAATGGAAGACTGAGAAGAGAGCTTAGAGATCTCCAGCTAAGAAAACCTGTTCCCTGGTCTTCATATCCCTATTGGTAGAAGCAAAGAGGAGTCCCCAGAACCCGAAGCACTCTTAGCAAAGTCCCAACCATTCTCAGCTTTAACACTCATGGCCTCACCACTACTTGAGACCATTAAGACTAATCTCATTCTGTTCTTTTTTTTTTTTAAAGATTTTATTTATTTATTTGACAGAGAGAGACACAGCGAGAGAGGGAACACAAGCAGGGGGAGTGGGAGAGGGAGCAGGGAGCCCAATGCAGGGCTCCATCCCAGGACCCTGGGACCATGACCTGCACCGAAGGCAGACGCTTAATGAGTGAGCCACCCAGGCGCCCCCTCATTTTGTTCTTTATCCCTGTTTACTTGGGCTACCTCAAGAAGCCAGGAGTTCTGAGAGAGAGACAAACCAAGAAACAGACTCAACTATAGAGTCATACAATATGGCTACCAGTGGTGGGGGGATGGTTCAAATAGGTGATGGGGATTAAAGAGTATACTTATCATGATGAAAAAAATAATAAGATAAAAATAATGGGGAAAAAAGGAAGCCAGGAGTTCTGCGTTGCCCCACATCTCCTGATGCTAACCACATAGCTCTATGAGCAGCAGTGCAACCCCTACCCAGCACTTCCTCTTCACTCCCATCCTGCTGCTTTATGTTCCTCCATATCACTTACCCACTTAAAAATTCCCTGCCTCTATCCACTCAAGTACCCACTGAAATCTAAGTTTTATGAGGCAGGGGTTTTATCTATCACTGTACTGCCAAGCAGAGAACAGTGCCATAAAAATTTGCTGAATGAATGTGCTTCTTCCTCTAACACAGGTATGTATGAAGGAAAAGACCGTTTTCTAATTCTTACTGTATATATCCAGCAAAATGTACCTTCTTATTATCCTCTTCTATTTCTAAAGATTATTCTGCAACAACAAATGTGCCATGGGAAACTCTAGGTTTGTGAGCCATCGCCCAAGGGCACAGCTACTGGTCTCGAGAGGAATGAGGTAAGATTTACCATTACTTCTGGAAAAATACATTCTATGTCCCAGTATTTATTCAGTCATCAAATGAATATTTTCTGAGTGCCTAATTAATGCCAGACACCATTCTAGGAACGGAGTGGATAAAGCAGTGAAAAAACAGACACCATCAAGGAGCGTTAGGGAGTGACAAACACTGTAGCCAGGTATTGTGTTACAGGATGGGTGTCTCCAACTCAGGAGAAAGGGCAGGGCCAGAAATAGAAATGTGCAGGATAGAGATGAGATTTTCAAGTTCTCTAACAGTTGAAGACCAGCAATCTGTCTCACTGAGATCACCTGAAAACTAAGTATAGATGATGAGAAGTGGGCCATCTTACAGAAAAAGGATGTGATTTTACAGTTAATGATGTTTATCATTCAACTCAATACATATTTGTTGATGGTTTTACTAGAGTAATATGTTCATCAAATTTTATAAGTAATGTCCCGTCTCCTTATTTTTACAAATGAGGATTTTTTTTTCTGGCCTCCTCGGGGAGGAGGTATTCTCTCATATCTGTTCTCAGTCTAGTGTGGTGGGGCTGAACTTTTGGTTTGGAATGTGGTAAGTTCTCTTTTGGGCTGAGTTTAACTTTCACTGATTTTAAGCCAATTGCCCAGTATAGATAGTTTTCCAGTGACAAAGTGACAAAGCCAATTTTTACCTCCATCCGTCTCTCAATTGATATAAACTGAGGAATAGAAGGATATTATTGTTTTTTCAAGCCTCTACAGTATTCAGAATAAAGTAGACACTCAAAAAAATGTCAGCACCCTTCTCTATACCCACATACTTTCTACTTGTGGGGAAAAAAAAAAAAAAGCCCCCAGTATCTCTTATTTATCTAAAGTTGAAACCAGAGACCTTAAGTTTCAAGTAGAGATTAATGGGGAAACAATTCTAATGAGCTTTTTTTTTTTTTTTTTCTAATGAGCTTTTGAGAATACACAGTACTGGGTCAATAATTACCTACCATTTGTTCAAACAGGTGGTTCTCAAGCTTTTTGGTCTCAAGATCCATTATATTCTTAAAAATTATTAAAAACCCTATCAAAGTTTTGTTCATGTGTGTTGTACCTCTCAATATTTACCACATTAGAAATTTAAATGGAGAAAAAATTTAAAGCTCAAGAATACAAGTCAACATTCCATTTAATGGTCAGAAAAATGATGTGACTGCATATCATACTGCTTCTGGAAAACTCTGTTGTACTCCCATGAGAGTATAAAAGGTAAGTAATATCTCAGCATTATTATGAAAATAGCTTTGAGCCTGTGGGTCCCTGAAAAGACCTGAATACACAGGGGTTCCCCAGACCACCCTTTCAGAACTACTAATTTAGACTAAAAAAGAAAAAGCATGTATTTACATGCCAATTACCATAACCTTTAAATTAGGTCTATGCTGTGCGTCTGGGTGGCTCAGTTGGTTAAGCAACTGCCTTCAGCTCAGGTCATGATCCTGGAGTCCTGGGATCGGGTCCCACGTTGGGCTCCTTGCTCAGCGGGGAGTCTGCTTCTCCCTCTGCCCCTCCTCCCTCTCACGCTCTCTCTCAAATAAATAAATAAAAATCTTAAAAAAAAAATTAGGTCTATGCTTATTCTGTATCTTGTCATCATAAAATTGAATTTCTGTTTGAGTCTGCTTACTTAAAAGAAACAAAGAGCTTTTCTGCAATATTTAAAGGTTTGTTTCAACGTTCCAGAATTGTTGGTTTATAACCTCGATATCATTAATGTTGGCTATGGAAATTATGTTTGTTAGACTCTGTTTTGTAGAAAACCATGTGTATTCACGTAAAGTGGTAAACTATGTTTGTCATAGAAGGTGGATATTACCAACCACCATTAAACTTGTGAGAATTAACCTACTAGTTGTGGCTTACCTCATCTAGTTCCAAGTAATTCAAGCAGAATAGAAGATTGTGCAGACCCACTTAGAACACTAGATGCACTCCTCCTTGTAAAGAGTTATTTTTTGAGTAAAATAAACACATGGCTGTTACAGATTAACTTTGGAAGCACAATGGAGAATCTCAGTTTCCCATGACACACTGTATCACCTCTCTGTCCCACTTACTAAGAGCTTGGGGCAAATGAAAAGTCACAACTCCTTCATCAAGTTAATCTTGTTGAAGTTAAATCTCTAAAATAGTGATTCTTGGGGTGCCTGGGTGGCTCAGTCGTTAAGCGTCTGCCTTCGGCTCAGGTCATGATCCCAGAGTCCTGGGATCGAGCCCCACATCAGGCTCCCTGCTGAGCGGGGAGCCCGCTTCTCCCTCTCCCTCGCTCCCCCTGCTTGTGTTCCTGCTCTCGCTCTCTCTCTCTCTGTCAAATAAATGAATAAAATCTTTAAAAATAAATAAAATAAAATAAAATAGTGATTCTTTTGTTTCTGATCTAACTTAATCATGTGTTGTTTGTATTTAATACAATTGCACTCTTTTTTCTTTTTACATAAATGACAAAATGCCATCGGTTGCTTATCTTGACTTAGGAACAAGTGTTCCCAATCAATAGTAGTTACCCTTTCTCTTCCTCCTCCTGCAAAATAATATCACTACCACCACAAACCCCCATGCCAACCTCCTTCCACACTTTATTATTGTGACTCAGGGCTTCTTGCTTGATATTTGTCATCAAAATAATTTCTATTGTATCTCAATTTTGCATGTGAAATTTTTGCATAGGCAACAGAAATTGGTGAGAGGAGGTCTCTGGAGTTTTTGTGGTCTCTTATAATTATCTACAATGGCTTTTCTCTAAATATGGTTCTCAGGCCATCAGCATCAGCATCTCCTTAGCCTGCTGAAAAATGCAGATTCTGGGGACCAAAGGAGAGCCTACTGAATGAGTCCGTCTGGAGGTGGAGTTTGGGATTCTCTAAGCACAAGAAACTGAGAATCTCTGATCTCTAGTAGACCTTATATCAAAGAACCTTGTTTACTGATGCTTTTTACTTCAGACAGATTTCCTTTAAACTATCCCAGAGAGATACTTCCTGAAACTCTCTCAACCCCAGAAACTCTCCCCAAGTTTACTTATAAATCCCTCCTGTCAATTGGGTGGGAATCCTACCACAACAACTTACTTTTTGCAGGAAAGTGCTTTTTCTCCGTGTGAGCAAGGAGACTCAGTGTGAGCCAGGAGCTCCTGCCACTGTCAGGAACATATTCTTTGATTTGGGTGTGAGTTGAGGGCATATAGGCACCACTGAAATGCCTCTTTTGAGCTCTCAGTAAACTGACTTGATTGCTTCTTTCCACAAGGCAGTTGGATTCACGCTTTTCATTTATCTCCTTCAGGAGACATTGTTCGCTTTCTTTGAGCTTTGTAATTATTTCACTGGTTCTGTTCGTAGAAGTCATTATGCTGACAAACCAGTCATCAAGTGATTCTTACTGTCCTGCAAACAAATGACAAAATACTATCAGTGGTCGCTTGACCTAGCGTCCAGTCTTCAGTCAGTTCCTCTTTCTCCTCCTGTAAAATACCACTACCGCTGTGCCCCTCACCCCATATCTCACTCCATTTTTATGATTGTTTCCGAAGATCTTTTTGGTGGACTAGATTATTCAGACCTAACTCCCAGTGAAAACTACTAAAAATTATGGGGAAAATTTTTTTTTAATTTGTTAATAATGAAATGATAAGAGAGTTAGAAAATATCAAGTCCAAAATGAAGGAAAGCAAGAACAAAGACATAGAGAGGTAGAAAGAACCTGCGCTTGCCTGAGGACATTTTCTAATCCTGGAGGTTAAAGAAGTCATTTTGCTAGCCTAGAGGGCAAGGGACAGAAAAATCAAAGCTCAAAGCCTATGCACAGTGGAGACCCTAAAGTAGACCTTTTCCATATTAAGTTGGCATCCAAAGGGCTACCCCCTCAGGGTGAGAGTGAATAAGAAATAAATTCACATTCCATCACGAACTTGCAGGAAGAATGTTGCTTTAGCACTAGGCACAGCTCTGGGGGAAAATCCCTCCATGAAAAGTTGTAAGTGCTTCCTGACTCTCACATGGATTTTCAACCCAAATTCACAGCTAGGGTGGTTACAAGAAATGTCAAGCTGAAAAGCAAGAATGGTGCAAGAAACATCAAGCTGCGAAGCAAGGGTGGTAGCAAGAATTTAGCTAAAGGGGTTCCAGGCTGGGAGTACATCCAAGTGACTAACAGAAGCAAACTCAAATCTTTTCTGGGAGAACTTCATCCTAGGCCTCGGGGAATCCCCAATACTTTTTCAAAGACAACAAAGAGCACACAGCCAAGGATAAGCAATCAAGCACAAGGGTAGATGAGGCATCATAAAGTGAGAACAACAGTAACAAAACCATGAAATCTACATATGGGAGAAGCATCAGATGAATTATAGAACAATTACACAGACTACATCTAAAGAAACGAGAAAATAAGTTTGCAGCTATCTTCAGGAAACAAGAAGCCAAAAAGAATTTCTAGAAATGAGAAAATGTTATTAAATAACATTTCATATAGGTTTAGCAGCAGATACGGATTCAGATGAAGAGATAATTAGAGGACTGGGAGATAAATCAGAAGTCATTATCCTGAATGCAGCATAGAAGGACAAAAAGTGTGAAAAAGCTAAATATGTGGAGGACACAGTGAGAAGGTCAAACCTACAGGAAATGGGAAATCCAGAGGACAAAAATGAGGCAGAGACAAGATTTAAAAAGATGTTTGAGAAATATCCAGAACTGACAAATGATACGACTCCAGAGACTCAAGAAGCTTAAAGAATAGCAGTCCAGATTTTATTTTATTTTATTATTTTATTTTATTTTTTAAAGATTTTATTTATTTGACAGAGAGAGAGAGGTAGCAAGAGCAGGAACACAAGCAGGGGAGTTGGGAGAGGGAGAAGCAGGCTTCCCGCTGAGCAGGGAACTCGATGTGGGGCTCTATCCCAGCACCCTGGGATCATGACCTGAGCCGAAAGCAGATGCTTAACAACTGAGCCACCCAGGCACCCCAAGATTTTTTTTTAATCCACACTTAAGTTACAGTGGAATTTGGAAAAAAAGGAAATCTTATAAGCAATGAGAGAATAAAAGGAAAGGCAGTTAAACTAACAGCTGACTTTTCAAAAAGGAACAATAGAAGCCATAAAACAGAGAAATTATATTTTCACTGCGGTAAAGAAGTTATACAGATGGTATAGTCAGCACACAGAGAGATGCTCAGCATCATCAATCATTAGGGAAATGTAAATCAATACTATAGTGAGATACTGCCTATCAGTAGAATGGCTGAAGTTAAAAAGATCGACCAAATCAAGTGCTGGTGAAGATGTGGAGGATTGGAACTCTCAGACACTGCTAGTGAGGTTGTAAAATGGTACAACTGTTTGGAAAACAGTGCGGTAGTTAAAAAGTTAAACGTTTATCTGCCATATGTTCTAGTCCGGAGTATTTACCCAACAAAAGTGAAAGTCTCTATACAAGTGTATGAAGAAACTATTTGTACACAAGAAAATTTATATATGAATGTCCATCACAGCTTTATTTTTATGAGCCAATAAGTTCTACCAACCCAAATATCCATCAACAGTTGAATGGATAAACAAATTATCGTATATCCACACAATGGACACTACTCAGTTATAAAAAAGGAATATATTATTGCTACACACGGTAACATGGATGAATCTCAATGTAATTATGCTGAGTGAAAAAAAATCCAGACAAGAAAAAATATATACTATATGATTCCCTTCATATAAAATGCTAGGAAATGTGAACTACTCTACTGGGACAGCAGATCAGTGTTTGCCTGGGAATGGGAAGGGGTTGAGGACAAGGGCAGCAGACGGGGGTTATAAAGGGACATGAGTAAACTTTTGGGGGTGGTGACTATGTTCATTATTTTGATTGTGGTGATGGTTTCATGGGTGTGTATATATATATATGTCAAAGTTTACAAGATTGTACTTTAAACACATACAGTCTATCGTATGTTAATTACATCTCAATAAAACTGTTAAATAAAATTGGAATCAGCACCTAGCACATTGCCTAATGCATATCAGGTGGTTAATAAATATTTGTTGAATGAATAAAAAGTATATTACTTATAAATCTTGACTCCTATTCACTCACTATTATATAATGAGAATTTTTCATGCCATTACATATATGTCATTCATAATAAAAATGAAATATTTGATGACAATGTGGTAGTCTTTCATATGGACTTAAAATAATATATTTGATTAGTCCATTTGTTGTTAGACTTGTAGGTTGTTTACACTTTGAACAATACACTGAAACACACTGGAGTGACAAAAATCACACAAACACACACTATTTTAGGAAACCTGCCAGAGTCATCGTTTGTCATTCCTGGATACACAAAAGGAGAAGAGGTATGTTTCAAAGTTCTCTGGCTAACACATAAATCTTACATGTGTTTGTACCTGCAGAAAGTAGTTGTCCCTACACAAAAGGAAATGGTTTAAGGGAGAATGGAATTTGAACTTTTTTCCCCCTCCCCCTGTCCAAAGCTCAAGGAAGACTAGAATTTTCTGCAAGATGGTAAAGAATTGTCTCAGGCAGTTATTGCCACAATAATGCTGCAAAACTCAACAGCATACAACGATAAACATTTATTCTCATGCTCAGTGGTGGATTGAGCTGGGCTGGGCTCACCTGAGAACTTGGCTTCTGGTTTAAAGGTCTGGCTGGGCTGGGCTCCCCGGTGAAGGTTGAGCTTAGGTCTGCTCCCAAAATTTTAGGACTGGGAAAAACAAGAAAAGCTATTTTCCTTTAATCCAACATGTCAGATGGGATCTAAGTCTCTTATCCTTATTTTGTTTCTAGGAATTTTAATAGCATAAGAGAATTTTTTTTTTTTTTTAAGGTAAAGGATATGAGAAGAAAACAATTTTTTCTTGAACTGCAGTTTCATTTTCCCACCTCTGGCAGGCACATCTTTTCCATTTCCCATTTCTGTTTCCTATCTCCCTGAAAAATCCTCAAGCTTAGGCAGCATATCTTGCACAATAAAATTGGAGTTCAAGCTCATATAATGTAGGAGCCCAATAAAAAGCAATTGACAAATTGACCTTCTTAAATGTATAAATCCAGTAACATTTGCTCACAAATATAAAAGATAATACACAACCCACCAGAAAATGATCCCTTGGTATTCAAATGATTTAAGTAAACTTTCTCTTTAGACAAGATGTCAATTGCAGACATGAAAAGAGAAAAGATGCCTTTTCAGCACTGGATTAGGCAAGTTTAAATTGAAGGAAGACAAAATATTTTACACACTCAATTAACACTAAAGAATTAAATTGGCCTCGGGCACCTGGGTGGCTCAGTTGGTTAAGCGACTGCCTTCGGCTCAGGTCATGATCCTGGAGTCCCTGGATCAAGTCCCGCATTGGGCTCCCTGCTCGGCAGGGAGTCTGCTTCTCCCTCTGACCCTCCCCCCTCTCATGTGCTCTCTCTCATTCTCACTCAAATAAATAAATAAAATCTTAAAAAAAAAAAAAAGAATTAAATTGGCCTCAACAAAGCTAACTCTATTCCAATCACCAATTATTATCCAGTGTAGTGGAAACAAAATTTGGTTTTATTTAAATAGTTTAAATACCTCATTGTTGTCATCAGTTTCAACTTACTTTTACTAGAGATACTAATTTATCAGAATTTAAACTTTTTGAACTATATCCTCTCTAACACTTTTACTGTTTATCCTCTCTAGGGGCTGAAATCAAATTGGGACATGACTAAAGGAAAAGAAAAGAAAACAAGGTATGTTTTATATGTCATACAAAATAACTGTGTGACCTTCTCTGGGCACTCAGTTTCCTTATTTAATTGGAAATAATGTCCAACTCACAGAGTGTCGTAAGGATTAAATGACCTAATATAGCCAATCCTCAATAAATGGTAACTTTAATATATCAATTAGGCACTGTGAAATAAAGGATTTGTTCAATTGGATAAGTTGGGGAAATTTGTCCCTCCAGTTATTTTTTGTCCCTCCAGTTATTTTTTGTTTTGTTTTGTTTGTCCCTCCAGTTATTGATCTGTTTACTTGCTATGCAACCAGGATCAGCTACATAATTTGTGGGGCCCAGTGAAAAATGAAATTCTAGGGCCCCTTATTGAAAATTTCAAGATGGCAACAGCAGAGCATTAAACCAAGTGTGGGGCCCTTTTGAGCATAGGGTCCCTGTGTTAGTGCAGAGGTCACATGTCTATGAAACTGACTCTGTGTATTACATAGTAACAGGATGATTTCTATGATTAATTCACCCAGTTTTAGTCTTTTAAACAGAGATAAGTAATGTGAACAACCTATGGCTTTTTAAAGGGCTTTGAGTGGCGCCTGGCTGGCTCCAGTTGGTGGAGCATGTGACTCTTGACCTCAGGGTTGTAAGTTCAAGCCCTACACTGGTTGTAGAGATTACTTAAAAAAATAAAATAAAATCTTAAAAAAACCCAAAAATTAAGAAAAGGGCTTTGAAAATATTAAGGATTTACAGAGAGAACATCTTCATTATTCATGGAATCCATATTAGCAAAATTGTCTACTCATAAAAATTTGTTATCTCAAAATCAATACTTGTAGCATTTCCATCATCATTCCCAGAAATGCACAGAGTAGCAAAAATTTTAGTCTCCTTGATGTGCATATTCCCAGCTAAGGTCAAACAAGGGGATACTCTGCGTTCTTGCTTCAGCTCTCATACTATAAACAAGTGTCCTTTTCCTGATCTATTTAGTGTCATTATTTTTTAGGATGCCCCCCAAGTATACTGCTAAAGTGCTGTCCAGTGCTCCTAAGCAGCAAGAAGGCTATAATGTGCCTTATATGTGTTAGATAAGCTTTGTTCAGGCATGAGTTATAATGCTGTTAGTTGTGAGTTCAATGTTAATGAATCAATAGTATGTATTAAATAATGTTATATACATAAAATAAGGTTATGTATTGATTGGTTGACAAAAATGTTATGACCAGAGGCTCACAAGAACCTAACCCTGTATTTCCCCTAGGAGCAGTGGCTGAGTATTTGATAATTCGATGTTTGGGGTCACTTTATAGAACATACCTACTGCAATAACAAGAATCAACTGCGTATATATAGAAAATATACTACTGTTTCTACAGGTATGTTATTATAAATTACCTTTAATGTGCAGCAACCCAAAGCCTATTTGAAATCCACTGGTTTGGATCAGCCTACTGAAATGTTACCCTGGTGATGGAATATTATGATCTAAGTCATTCCAATTTTGTTCTATTCATAGAACCCTAATTAAGAGAAATTTTGGAGGTAGAGAGACCATTTACTAACCAGCCATGTATCCTTGAATAAATCACTCAGTTTCTCTTAATACCAATTTCTTCATCTGAGATAAAGATATCTATTCCATTAAGTTGTATGTTTGTGTGTATGTGGTAAGAGGTAGGGAGGGAGTTGGAATTAAATGAGATATACATGTAAATTAAATGAAATATTACATTTTTACATTGTGCTTGGTATCAATTTATTACATGTACTGATATTTCTTGAACATGTACTCTGTGCCTGGTATTGTTCTGGGTACTAGGGACAAATGGGTACCTATCCCCATGAAGCTTAGAGTTTAAAGGTTTAAGGTAGGTACTTAGTAAATCATAGCTATTTTTATTGATTTTATTAAAACTTCATATTTTACTTGGGAATTATTTTATTCATCTTTTTTCTCAGAAGAGGAAGCCTCCCACAAAAACAAATCTTCAGAAATACATTTTAGAAATACAAAAGTCATAATTTCTTTCTCTCTTTACAAGAATTTGTGATAGAAGAAGTAAGATTGGTATTAAAGAAAGTAGTTCACAATACCAGAGAAATGAATTCCCGAAAGAACTATATGAAGGGTCAGCAAAAAAAGACCACCCAACTCTGATGAGACTGCAGTAAAAAAAACAAAAACACAACTCTTGAGCCTAATGCAGGGCGGCCCCTGAAGATGAGAAGGTATTTTGCCGATGTTGGGGGTTTTTTTGTTTTGTTTTTTAGCAAATTTCCCAGATAATCCAAAAGGCTTATCAAGAGACCTACTTGGTTGGGCACAACCCTGGCACCTGAGGGCTTGGGGCTATATTCAAATCCTCTCTTCTTAGAGTGCAATCTGGAGGAAGATTTCTACATCTTTGGACTTCAGTGTCCTTAGCTGTGAAATGGGCTGATATCACTACAGAGCTATTGTGAGGATTAAATGAGATAACAGATAAAGGGACTTGTAAACCATAAAGTATATAAAGCAAATGTTGGGGAGAAAAAAATTTTCTCTACCCTCAAACTTCTTCTGGCTGGTCTAAGAATTAAATTGACATGGACAGTTAACAGGAAAGAATCAAATTTAATTTGTACATACGAGGTCCTACAGATATGACTAAGGCAGGCAGCTTTTTTAAAACAAAGAAACGATAAATTGCAATTGACAGGATAATGTTTGGGAACTTCAACTAGTAAGGAATTCTAAACAATTTGGATGGGGGTATTCAGTTAGTAAAAGTAACAAGGTTTGTTTATACAGGCTTCTTCATCCTAAATTCTCTCTCTGATGATAAGGATGTCTCTCTACATCCTGATACAGGGAGGGTACCATGCACATGGGAGGTTAATTTCTTGCTTTCTGGAGACAAAGGAGGGTCAGTGTGTCCTTTTTGCACTGGCTGTTTCTTTCTTCTTCTTTTTTTTTTTAAGATTTCATTTATTTGACAGAGAGAGACACAGCGAGAGAGGGAACACAAGTAGGGAGAGTGGGAGAGGGAGAAGCAGGCTTCCCGTGGAGCAGGGAGCCTGATGTGGGGCTCAATCCCAGGACCCTGGGATCATGACCTGAGCTGAAGGCAGACACTTAACGACTGAGCCACCCAGGTGCCCCGCACTGGCTGTTTCTTAAGTAACTTTAATTCAAAATAATCAAGATGCCAACATAGCATATTTTAGGGTCACCTACCCTGAGCCCCAACACGAGCATTATGAGTTTTTCTAAAATGTACATTGATTAGATTAGATTATTAATTCAGAAAGTTATGTGTGTGTTGTATCCAACAGTAATTCTCCATCATAATTTTACAATGCAATTATTTGTCACATAAGAAAGCCAATTTGAATAATTCTTAAGCCAACAATTTTCCCTCACTCAAAGGTTACTCTCCCAGTAAAGATTTCAGGCTACATTCTAAGGTATCCTATCCCCATTTTCCTGGATTCGCTCTGGTTTGCTATCATGAGTTTAGGGTAGGCCACCACAGGATGTGATGCTTTAGCGTGAGCATTATTTTGAGCCCCAAACAATCAGTGCACATAAGCATGAGGGCATACCCAGTGCTATAGGGTCTAACTGGCATGAGATAATATACTATAGGTTGTACCTGAGAGGCAAGATTGTCATAGAATGTTTATAGCAATGCCTTTATTTTCAGGGGAGTATAGATGTAAAGGTTTGTTAAAATTAGGTAAGCCTAGAGCTGGGGGTGTTGACAGTATTAATTTCCAGGCTTTAAAAGATGGTAATATCTCTGAAGGCCAGGAAATGGGCTGGGGTGGGGGGTGGGGGGGGCGGGGGTCTCTGGGAGAAGAGCATACAGAGGTTTAACAAAGTCTACAAAATCAGGAATCCATTGGCTGCAATAGTCAGCTACCCCCCCAAATTTACATAATAACCACTTATTTGTTTTGGGGAGAGGGATGAACAAAATTGACTCAAGGTGTTTTGGAGTCCGCTTTTGAATGCCCTGAGATATCTCAGGTCCTAAGTAGTTAACAGTTGTTTGCACCCATTGAAGTTTAAATCTGGAGACTTTATGGCCTCATTCAGCCAGTGCCTTTAGGAGGATGAGGGCGTCTATATAAGAGCTCCCTGCTTAGTTTGATTCCCCCTGATTAGAATCAGAGGTGACAGGTAGAGATAAATCCTCTGAGCAGATGGTAGAGAAAGTCACATGAGTGCCAAATAAGAAATCCAATTCCTGATCCTCTGTTTTAAGGTTAATGGTGGTGGGCTTTGGGGTGTGACTGAGGCCTGGCTGACACTGTCATTTAAGGGGGAATTGTCTCTCAGGAGAAAAACAAATTTTCTCAGGATGATGGGGTTTAGGGAAATTGCTTCTTAAAATTTACTTTTTCTTAAGTACAGGACAACTTCTCTTCCAGTGACCTGCATTCTTGCAATATCTGTGATTGCCTGGAGGCAAATAGGGAGAGCTCTGAATGGGCCTTGAATTACTCTCAGTCATGCTTTCATCTTTCCAAAGACTCAAGTAGCAAAGCAAGAATTGCTGCTATGAGTTCTTTTTTCCTCCTGCTTTCCGGCAAGCTCTTTTCAAAGAATTAAGTAGCTGCCTCCATTATTATGCTTAGTGGTTGCCCTGACCAACCGACCGTGTGGATTTGTTATTTAATATCAGGGAGAAAATTTCCTGCTAAAGCAGAAATTAAAAGATTCCTATGTTCCAGGGCTTCTGGATTTAACAGTTTGCCTTTGAAAAGTTTGTATATACATTCAACAAAGGCTTTTATGTGCTCTTCTTTCTAAGTACATCGTTCAACCTCAGACCAATTTACTTTGAGGGGGAACACCTCTAATATAGCTCCTATATTGAGGCCTTGGATATCAGCCTCCGGCTGAGCCGTTTCTGGGTCATGCGCAGGAAGGCCTGGGAAAGGCTCAGGCCATCTGTTTCCTCTCTGAGGGGGTTTTCTCCAGGGACCATCTAGCTTGTCTCCTAACCATCATATAATCATGGGTAGGAAGAACACCCCTTCATAGCCAGTCTAGGTCCCTGGGAGTGGGGTTGTAAATAACCACTAATCTTTCTAATTTGTCTTTAAATTTGGTAGGATCCTCCTGATGTGGAGAACAAAGGCAAAAGAACAAAATTAAATTTACTTAAAACTTATAGTCCATTGACAAGTCCTTGATACAGGCAGAGTGACATTCCTCTTGGAACTCAACTGCCTCGATGTTAATACTTTGATATGGGCAAAAGGCAACCTTAGCTTAACATTAACTCCAGGATCCTATAAGTCTTCTTCAACATATGAAAATCCCTTTGGAAACCTCCTTTATCTCTACCCACCACCCCAAGATATATATTAGTGATCATCCTCCAAGCATATGGCCCGCTGATATACATCTGAAGGGTCTCATGACTAAGGTTTTACTAGACAGTAGTAAATGACCTTTTCCTAACAACAGCTAGCCCCTCAAGGTGCTGGAAACCTTGCTTCCAAATTCCTTAGAGACTTAAGCTATCCCTAACGCCCTCCCAACTTGGAAGTATATAATCAGCCACTCCTCATGACCCCAGTGCAGCTCTTTCTGCCTGAGGGTCCTATTCCTGTGCTTTAATAAAACCACCTTTTTTGGGCGCCTGGGTGGCTCAGTCGGTTGAGCGACTGCCTTCGGCTCAGGTCATGATCCTGGAGTCCCTGGATCGAGTCCCGCATCGGGCTCCCTGCTCAGCGGGGAGCCTGCTTCTCCCTCTGACCCTCCCCCCTCTCATGTGCTCTCTCTCTCTCTCTCTCATTCTCTCTGTCTCAAATAAATAAATAAAAATCTTAAAAAAAAAAAAAGACAATAATTAAAAAAAAAAAAAACACCTTTTTTGGGGCACCTGGGTGGCTCAGTCTTTAAGCGTCTGCCTTCAGCTCAGGTCATGATCTCAGGGTCCTGGGATCGAGCCCCACATCGGGCTCCCTGCTCCGCGGGAAGCCTGCATCTCCCTCTCCCACTCCCCCTGCTTGTGTTCCCTCTCTTGCTGTGTCTCTCTCTGTCAAATAAATAAATAAAGTCTTTAAAAAAAAAACAACAAAAAAAACCCCACCCTTTTTGCACCAAAGACATCTCAAGAATTCTTTCATGACTGTTCACTCCCGAACCCCAACATTTTTACATCACTCCAAGAGCAGAGGTGAAGGGATTTTATAATTTAAAAGATCTGCTGCTGTCCTGGGGACATGAATTCTTTGCCCTAGGGGTCCAGGATACATCCACAAAGGACTTGGCATAGGAATGGCTGAAACTGGCAGAGGTTGATTACAGATCCCTGGAAAGTAGGAGGAATTGAATTATAAGGGGTAGCAAAGAAAGCCTTGTTGCTCTTCCTGGGCACTTTTGCTAAATTCACTTCCTGACATTCAGTATTTACATAAGCAAACTGTATTCCCTGGGTCTGGAGATCAGGCAGAAGTGCTCTCTGCAAATCTCATGAAGAAAGGGAAATTATAATAGGCAGCTGGTTGTTAGAGGGTTTTTTTCTGGGGAAGGTGGAATTTTAGGATTTAAGGAAATTGGCTGAGGAGATGGGGCTGGGTTTTGAGAAAGGGAGTTTAGACCAGGGGCCCAGATCCAAAATATCTAGAGGGTCAGGGACAGGGAGTGGGGGATAAAGGAGAGCAAAAGGGGGATTTATGTCAGATTTGTTTAATTTCTGTTCTGACTTTTATTCTTTCATTTTATTGATTCCCTGAGGCTAGCTGTTAAAATTTTATTGTGTTTTTCTTTAAATTTGATCCTCCCATAAATACCGGAAGGGCAACTGCTTGGAATGAGAGTTCTCTAAAAAATTTTCCAAATATAGAAGTTTTTCCAACTCAAAAGACCCATCATCTGGCCATTAATGAGTAGGATCTCCATTAGTATATTTATTCTAATAGTGACACAATCCAATAAGCCTTTTTATGGGAAGTCCTGGAGCTCATTTCCAAAGCTTAGAATAAATCTTTATTTTATTTTATTTTATTTATTTATTTGAAAGAGAGACAGCAAGAGCAAGAGAGGGAACACAAGCAGGGGGAGTGGGAGAGGGAGAAGCAGGCTTCCCGGCGAGCAGGGAGCCCGATGCGGGGCTCGATCCCGACCTGAGGATCACGACCTGAGACAAAGGCAGACACCTAACGACTGAGCCACCCAGGCGCCCCAGAATAAATCTTTACCATGGACGCAAGAGGTGTCCCTGCAGTGACTGCAGACAGTATAGCCCCCGTGATCCAAAAACTTCACTCCCCAAAATAAACTATGATAGCAAAGGCCTTTGTTGTTGCACAGGCAATAAGGATGGTGTCGTGAAAACAGTGTCTCTAGTCTCCCACAGGAACATGGAACACCTCCAGTCACAGATCACTAATCTGTGACACGAGCAGGCGCTACTGAAATGGGACTTTTCCAGCACTAACAAACAACAAGTTTGAGATAACAAATGCCCATTATGTTCTGGGACCCCTTATGACAAAATCCTCTGATTGCTGACACAGCCAGCCCAAGAGCATGTCTTGGAACCCCACTCTATTCAACTGGCTACCAGGTACACCCCAGTAAGTGCACCCTCCAGATGGTGAAGACCAGAGAGCGTATTTTTACTAGTCATAAAAATAAGCAACAAAGGCCTTTACTTCATAGTCTAGCTTTGGAAATGAACTCTCTAGATCTTGTGAAGGCAGCGTATTTTACATTCTCTTGTGGGATGGATGCCTCTTGTATTCTTGGTTAAGCCATAAGAAGGCTTAGGTTTGACTCACTATTGAGATGAATACATCCTACTCATCAATGGCCAGACAATGGATCTTCTGAATCAGAGAAACTTCAGTGTTTGCAAAATGTAACAGGGCTCTCATCCTAAAGAATTGTCTTAATGGCATCTATGTAAAGACCAAATTCAAAAGTGGATACAAAAGAATGTAACAGGCTTTTACCAAGGGAATCCTTGGAATCCTTTTTCCCAGATGAAAAAAACAAATTAGAACAAAAATTAAAGCTCCACATGTAACATAAATTCCTCCTTCTTAATGATGAGGGAGCAGAAGGCAAGCTGAGGACAAAGCAGAAGCTGACACCCCACAACCCCCCCCCCCATGGGATGCAGGTGACATTCTTCAGACACTCCTGGCTGCCCTAAAGTTAAGGAAAGGAAAAAAAAAAAAGTTAATTTATAGAGATCACAATCCTGCAAGACATGAGTCTCCCTCAGTTTACAAATATCTTAGCAATCTACAAGAACAAAGCATTTCTATCAATAATGTAGCTTCCAGAAGGAAATGTAGATACAATTTAATGTCCTTAAAAAGGTGTGCCAGAAGATGGTGCATTTAATTGTTTGGATCTTAATGATGGGGTTTTGGAATATAGATGAGGTTTGGTGGGGTGGAGTCCGGAGCCGACGACCAAGAAATAATTCTTGAGACGTCTTTGGTGCAAAAAGGTGGTTTTTTTAAAGCATGGGGACAGGACCCGTGGGCAGAAAGAGCTGCTGTCCCGGGGTTGTGAGGGGTCACCCCTTTAGCTATGGCCTGGGAGATACAAATGAGAATGTTATCCTTCCCGGCCAACGCCAGAGTCAAGGTAAGGAAAAGGAGAAAGGGTTTCATGTTTAGTTCAGGTGTGAAGTCTTGACCTGTTGTCTTGGGCAGAAGCAGTTTACCTCGGTGCCAGCTACTTCTTTCCTTGCCAGTGTGATTTGGAGATCCCCAGCATCTGTAGAGGGCTCAATGCCTTCTACTTTTGCAGCAGTGTTGGTCACCAGGAGCACTTGCTAAAGTCCCTTTCAATGGGGCTCAAGGGCTGTCTTTCTCTGATAACATTTTCAGAACACCTAATCATCAGGCTTTAAACTGGGACCAACAGAATCCTTTGAATTGGAATCTGGGGAGCCCCCTTTTTTAAAAAGATTTTAGGGGCACCTGGGTGGCTCAGTTGTTAAGCATCTGCCTTCAGCTCAGGTCACGATCCCGGGGTCCTGGGATTGAGCCCCACATCGGGCTCCCTGCTTTATTTATTACAATAAATAATTTATTTGACAGAGACACAGCGAGAGAGGGAACACAAGCAGGGGGAGTGGGAGAGGGAGAAGCAGGCTCCCCGCTGAGAAGGGAGCCCGATGCGGGGCTCGACCCCGGGATCATGACCTGAGCCGAAGGCAGATGCCTAATGACAGAGCCACCCAGGCGCCCCCAGGGAGCCTTCCTTAACCTGTGGATAACAGACATTAGAGACTTACAGTAGCTGGTCACGCTTTCATGAGACAACCAAGGTCAGCAGAAAGTAGTACACTGGTAGAATTTTTAAAAGTTTGTAAGATTTTTACTAAGGCTCATGTGATTTGCTGGTGAAGTGCCCCAATCACGGAGATTATAGAAGGTGTACCCCAAGTGGGAAGTACATTTTTTTAAACATTCTTTTTTTTTTTTTTTTACCCATTTTAAAGGCACCCGACTTGCCATGGGGAAAGGCTTCAACCCATCTGGAAAAATATACAAACAGTAACAGGAAGATATCGATTACCCCTACGAAGTGGCAGTTGAATGAAGTCCAGCTATAGGTGTTCAGAGGGTCCAAAGGGAAGACGTCTGAAGCCTCTGGAGACAAAAACAATTTTTTTAGGATTATGCACCTGACAAGTCAGATATTGCCTGTGGACTGTTCTTGCAATATTATAAAGTCTCCCCACCAATGTCTATTTATAACTTGCGTCATCTTAAATTCCTTATGGTGGGTAAAGGAATGCAAAACCCAAAAAATGGGATTTGCCAGGGACCTGGGAAAAACCAAGCAGCTGTCTTGGTTTCCCATATCCCTGACAGTTTAATTTACAGCCATTGCTCAATTTCTCAGATTCAGGATTGGACTATTGCTAAGTTACAAGGGTATCGGGATGGCAAACGTCTGGTAGTGAGGGGCCATTGTTTGTAGAAGCAGAATGGGCTTTCACATGTGCCCAAATCTTACAAATACAACATAAAGAAAACTTAGTATTACTTCTTATTTGGCAATGCTTCCTATATAATTTAACATATCAAGTGAGCCTACTTAGTTTAGCAAATCTTTTGGAATGTTCCAGGTTAAAAAGATTTAAGCAGACCAAAAGTCTAAACAAACAAACCAACAAAAAATACCCTTTGTCCTTTTAACAGAGAGAAAACCAAATTTTTATTTTGTACCAACTTACTTTTGATATTAAAACATACTCATTTTAATCTTAGTCAGTCCTGACCACCCATAAAATTCCTTTCCAACGATTCCTTTTTCACAAATCTTCTGCAACTTTGTTTTTTACGTTTGGATTTTGTCCTGAGGTTTCCATTTTAAATAACCAGCCTCACTTTAGGACAGGATTACTTTCTTCTCCCTCAACTAAAATGTATTCGCATCCCTCTTATTTATTGTAACCAAAAATACACATCTTACTTCTTTTGCATGGAATGTTGTTTCCCTTACTAGAATTTTTTAGCTCTTAGAAACCTTAATTTCGGGCGCCTGGGTGGCTCAGTTGGTTAGGCAGCTGCCTCGGCTCAGGTCATGATCCCGGAGTCCCAGGATCAAGTCCCACATCAGGCTCCCTGCTCAGTGGGGAGTCTGCTTCTCCTTCTGACCCTCTCCCCTCTCATGCTCTCTCTCACTCTCTCTCTCTCAAATAAATAAATAGAATCTTAAAAAAAAAAGAAACCCTTAATTTCTAGTGAAAGCTAGTAAGTAAGCAATGATGAATTCTGTTACACCAGTATTTTTTTAAGTTGGTATACTGATGAATATATTTCACAATTTTTAGAAATGTACTTTTTCATAGTATAATCTTTTTCTTTTTGAAGATTTTATTTTTAAGTAATCTCTACCCCCAACATGGGGCTCAAACTCACAACCCTAAGATCAAGAGTCACATGTTCTCTTCCAACTGAGCCAGCCAGCCACCGCCATCATATAATATTTAATAAATCCCAAGCATGTTTACTAACAGACCCAAACATATCTTTAGTTTCTCTGTAATAAGGAAGCCAAAAAGTAAATAAATCTATGTCCAGTAATTGATATTTCAGTATTTTATATTATTTAGAAATGATCTAGATATTTAATGAATTTAACTAAATTTATCATTTAATGTAACTCAGCAAAACTTTAGGGTTTTAGGTTACCAAAAAGATTTGGGAGACTACTTAAAAGTTTACCTAAAATTTTATTTTATTTACACCTATTTAATTTACTTGTTTTTAATAATTATGTTTAGATTACCCCAAAAAAACTTCATGAGACATTAAGGTCAGTTAATTCTCCCAAGCTGGGTTTTTCTTTTCTTCTTCTCTTTTTTTAAACATTTTATTTTTTATTTTTTTTTAAGATTTTTAAATTTATTTTTGAGAGAGAGAGAGCACGTGGGAGCACAAGCCGGGGTTGGGGTGGGGAGGGACAGAGGGAGAAGCCGACTCCCCGGCTGAGCAGGGAGCCCCATGTGGGACTCAATCCCAGGACCCTGGGATCATGACCTGAGCTGAAGGCATACGCTTAAACAACTGAGACACCCAGATGCCTTTTTTTTTTTTACATTTTATAACAGAGATCACATCAACTTTATTTGACTTCTTGTAAACCCAGGCAGAATTAAAGTTTTAATTTTAATGCTGTTAACTTTAAAGACACATCTATTTCAATTAAACCAAAACCCAAACCAATATTTTTCCAGATCATGAGAACTTGAAAAAAACACATTTTGGTTAGTTTTTATCTGAGAGTTTTAGAATGTCCAGTCCTTATAAGCGCTTGCCTGGGCAAATTAATTTTAGCAGTACCGTCCGGAGGTAGAATAGTAACTCACATTTACTACATATATAGTAAGAGAGACATACACACAGATAGTTGCAAAGACCCTACAGTGGAGGATCTTTGTGGAGAAAATTTTTAAGATTTCTATGTGTCCCTGGAATTAATCTTTTTTTTTTTTAGGATTTTATTTATTTATTTGACAGAGAGCAACACAGAGAGAGAGGGAACACAAGCAGGGGGAGTGGGAGAGGGAGAAGCAGGCTTCCTGCTGAGCGGGGAGCCAGATGTGGGGCTGGAGCCTGATGTGGGGCTCGATCCCAGGACCCTGGGATCATGACCTGAGCCAAAGGCAGAGGCTTAATGACTGAGCCACCCAGGCGCCCCTCCCTGGAATTAATCTTAAGGAGACTCTACTAGAGTTTGGGCACAAGAGTCCTTTCAGCAGTTTGTATGTGAAAAGGGCCTCTTTCCCCTTATTCTCTTTCAGTCTCAGGTAATTGTGAGCTGTGTTTATATTTTAAATACGTGATAAGATGTATGACTCTAAGCGACAGAGAAAGAATGCAAGTTGTTTTGTTTGGTTGGGTTTTTTTTGAAGGACTTTGGTTTCCTAAAGCCAATAATTTGAAGTCATGTAATAGGGGAAGTTTTGGGATTGGTAAAAGAATAGGTGAACTTTGAATTGCCTTTTGAGTTGCATTTCTAGTTTTGTAATCTATTCAACTACATTATCTTCAATTTACTTTTTCCCTCTGCGTACATAGTTTTAACTTTAGATATTTTTGGCAGTACTGAATAACTCCCCTTTGGTGTAAGAGGGGTCCTCAGACAGGGTGCAAAGGATATTTATTACTTTCCCCAAATCCAGAGTTGCTCCCAATGAGAGCCAAAAGAGAGAATCAGCAACCTGCCTGTCCCAGGCAGGTAGAAAGCCAGACCCTGTTATGAAAATGAATCAAGCAAGAAGACAGTAGCTTTCCCTGGGAGAGAAAGGATCAGTAGTCAGTAGGTCTGGATTTGGAAAGGAAGGGACAATGGAAATGTTATTGTCTCCTCTTGACTGTGCACCACAGACAGAGATTAGGAAGAGCAGATTCTGATAAGGAATTTCACCCTTTGCTGGCTTCTGCCAGTTTTTTTGGGATCCCCTCTGCAGGCATTTACCAGTTTCTCTTTGGCTGTTTAAGGAAATAACATAGCAGTGTTCCAGAAAATTCCTCAGTTTTGACAACTCTGGGAGGGACCCATATAGGGACTCTACTTTGAAGGGAGATATGGGGTGTCTATAAGGCCATTCACTTGGTGGACTTTTGTTCATGGTTGTGTAGTCTGTTTAGAGCTGGAAAAACAATTTAGACAGAGAATTAGTAGAATGAGCACTCCAAAGAGGAAAGAGAGAAGCAGTAGGAGTTACATCAGTCTTACGGTCTTTTGTTTTAAGTACCATTTACAGCTTTAATTTTTCATTAGCCTTTTGCAACAAGAGTCATTTGATGAAACTACTTTGGAATTTTGATAACCTTTGGGAGGCTTCTGCTCGCCAATTAAAACAGATGTCCCATTTTGCTTAATTTGGGAACCTTGCTTTGAAGTGCACTTCTTAAATGATTGTAGCTAATTGGAACCTTCCCCATCATGGCCATTGTGCTTCTCTGTTGTAATTCTCCTAAGGGCTGGCAGCACTTTGGCAGGACCTTGGCCGCAAATGGAGTTAACCAACATTTTTGTCCACGCTTTTTTTGGGGTCTTCAACCTGATGGTTACTGACCGAAGTTCCTCAGGACACAAAACCAGCTTAGTAAGATTTGCTGTTTTTGCTACACATCTACAACTTCCGGGACTATAGCTCTTAGACATAAAATGTGCTGAAAGGTGGCACACTTGACTCTAGGATTTAAGGATCCCATTAGCTAAGCCTTTGGGTTTCTTAGAGCCGAAGTAATACTTAAAAGGAACATGCCACTGGATTGGGGGTTGTGTTTGACAGTGTACCTCATTGCACTGAAATTTTCTTGAGGTTGGCAGGTGACCTAGTTGTCAATCTAACCCATTCTGTGACCCACTTATCCTATCACAGGAGTCTTCTTGAGGTGGCCAGAGCTCCAGCAGCCTTTAAATGCTTGACCCATGCCCACCAATTTTTGTGGCTTTTTGGCCTCTGAGATCCCCTCTAGCAGTAGCCTTTATCTCCATAAAACAAGACAAACAAACATGTGCACCTTAAAGTATTGGCAGTTACCAAGAGATGTTACTTCATCTTGACGACAAGAAGGCCCTGTGCGCATACCATCAATTCCCATGGAACCTTGCTGAGGTTTTTCCCCCCGGGGGATCTATGGTCTGATAGGCTAGGGCCTTGGCTCTGGGCAGACCTTTCTGCCAGCTCAGTCAGTCTTCCAGGCGAAACTGCCAGCCCTCGTGAGCTCTAGGCAGAACTGACAGCTCAGAACCAAGAGGAACTCACCTATAGCCCTTGGAAATGTGAGAAAGAGAGTGAACTCAAAGTGTTTGTGGGTACCACAACCTGTATTTCTTGTTGTCCCCAAATGCTGCCAGAAGTTCACTTTGGATCCCATAACTGCCACCAAATCTGTTAATAAACAAAAATTCAACAGGAAATTTCTGAAGGTGTAATGGCCTTATTTAATCAATTCATGAATCAGGCAGCATCCCATCTAGCAAGTAGAGGGGAGCTCCAAAGGGCTGCAGAAAAGGAAAAAGGTTTTTAAAGGGAGAGAGGGAGTGGGAAAAAAGGAAATTATTAGCAAAGAGTCCATTGTTTTAGGCAAGGTCACCGTCCTAAGTAAACTT